GTACTGGTGGCTGAGACCGGAGGCCAAAGGAGTTACCAGAATGTAGGTGCCCAAAATTCGAGAAACATATATCCACCAGATGATGTTGGTTATTATTCGGACTGTATTGGCCAATTTTGAATTATCATAAACGTCTGGATAAGCAGTTACTAAGGTCGTGAGGGGAACATCTGTAAGAAAATTCAAAATTGAGTTTAGGACTCCATAACGGTCAGACAGGTGGCTAAATTTTGACGATATGAAAGCTGAAGAGTGAACCAGGATAAATTAAAAAAATATACAATATGAACGTTATAGAAGAAGAAACCAATACTCACTATTACGAACTGTTTCCATATAAGCTTCTACATTAATCATGAACATGGCCATCACACAGTTACACGTAACTGCAATCAAATATCTAAAACTTTGCTTTATCATCTGTCTCTCCACCACTGGATCATTATGGATCGCCTTTAAGCCTATGGTCAAATTTTCGAGCACATTTCTAATCTTCTTCCTATGATATTTAAGAATTAAAATATATACACAGCCCACAAATTTTGAAATGATGTACACCAAAAGATTAAGTCGCTGATCATTGTTTAAATTATCCTGTGTGTAGAAAGCACCTATTTCAAAAAACAAAAGTAACCATATAAGTGAATTGTTAATGACGTTGATTTGGTCAAACATTCTTGTAAATCTTTTGGGAAGCTTCAAGCCTTCGATCCAGAAATCTGGAAAACCGATTAAATAGACAATAAGACATATTTTGTAGAAAAACTCTGTTGTTTTATTCGATTTATATGTAAGGGGTACCATACTGACTCCAGTCATGGAAACCAATGATCCTAATTATTTGTGATACCGAATAGCCTTTAATTCAAAGTGATTTCGTAATTATTTCAAGGGATTAAAATAATAGAGGCCATTGTTAAATATTTAATGTAGTTCACAGACGATCAACCAGATTTTAATTGTTCATATTAATTACAATAAGAAAAGGATATTTAAAAGGAGGGTGCATAAGGTTTTATACACGTCTGTATGTTAGCGATGTAAAACGAGTTTCATCATACCCTATTTTTGACCCACTTATCACTGGTGTTGCTAGGTCCTAGACAAGCAAGGCTATTAAAATGCTAATATTATTATTATTATTATATTGCGCAGCAAAGAAGCATGATGTATGGTGAGTAGTTATAATATTTTAGCCTATTATTTTACTTATTAGAATTTCTTCCGCCGCGACGATCTATCTGCTGTTTTGTCTGCGTTCCCGTTGAAGATGTACATGAATAGTAGTACATCTAAGACTTGTGCTAAAAATCTATAAAAGAAAAAGTGACCGACTACTCCGCCGCATACCTAGTGTCATAATCCTGTGCACGCCGCTGAGTTCTTAGTACCAGGTATGGTACTTGCCCATCATGTGGCCACTGCCTCGCATTCCAGGATTACGTGGGCGGCCGTTTCTTCTCTTTTCAGGCATCATCGTCATGGCGGTTCAGGGCTAGGTGTCCTGTTATGGTCCTACAACTATTCGGATATCTAGTGTGCTAAGACTGATTAGTCTGCAAGTAAGTCGTGGTGAGACGTCAGTCAGCACCAGTTTGAACTGTCTGCAGCCGGGTGAGTTTTTCCACCTTCGGTTGTGCGCTTCAAAAGTACGCTGTCTAGCCCAGGGTCGAAGTTGGTTAAAAAGCAGTGGCAGGAGTGTAGTTGGGCCGGTGGCCGGAGTTGCCGAACCCCTCCTTGCCAGCTTATCTGCAGCGTCATTTCCGTGTGAATTACTCTGCCCCTTAATCCATTGGAGGAGTACCCCATTTGTTGTGACAAGCTGCTCTAATGGACGAAGACAATACCAGAGGTCATTGTGTTGCCCTCCAGTGCCTTTAGGACAGCCACGCTGTCTGACAGTAGTACGGATGTTGTAGTCCTTAATACCCTTTGACATGGCCGTTGTGGCGTATAATATGGAACTGTATTGGCCTATCCATGGGCATGTAACTATTTTATCATTTACAACCATAAAACGCAGGTGATAATACCAGAAATACCAAAATGTTCTGCCGTTTCACACAGCTACAAAATATTTTATTATAAATGAGCTACAGAATTGTTTATCTAAATGCATTTGTGGAATAAAAGAAAATATACAAAGTATATATTTTAATAGAATAACAGACAACAATACATTTGATAGACACATAATATGACAATTAGGTATAGATTTCGTAAATGTTTATAAACAATTAAAAATAAATGCAAAAAAAATTACACCCGAAGTGTAATTGTTGTAAAGGCTCACTTATCGTAAATACATTGGACAATAACACAATCTATAAAAAATGTGTAATGCGTGCAAAGTTCTTCATAATATTAAGTAAAATTACTTTATTTTCTTTGATAGGTTTTCACTGATTCCACTTCATCAAAATTGTACTAACTTCTAAAGACGAATATAAACAGTTCTATAATATTTCGTACCAGCGATCAAACTCCATGAAATAGATATTATACTGGTGTGACTACAGTTTAATTTTACATTGTCACGTAAGACGACGAACAATTTTAGTTATCAAATATATTTTTTACATTTTACATATTTTTTACATACATTTTACATTTTTCCATTTAAACTAGTCACTCTTGTTAGACAATAGACAATTTTCTTTCTATATCGAAGTAACATTGTGTTGCCACGCTGGTGTGGTGAGTCTTTAACACAGGTACGAGAATTCATGACTATTTATACATAGTTATAGAACTTTATTAGAAGAAATAACTTTATTAAATCATAGTCACAGTGGCGTGACCTGGTTTAATGTTAGTCACAATGTGACTTTAAATAATAAAATCACACATTTCATTATGTTTTTGATTTCTTGTTGAGCATTAGTTAAAATAAGACTATTTGGAAGTTCATATAAAAACATTTTTAAATTATTTTAGAATGCCAATTCGGGTATAATTCGTTTTTCAAATTACAAAATATTCATAAAACAATATGTAGCAATAAAAGGCATCCGATACAATATAAAAAAAAAACATTTCGATTACTGAGTTTTCAACATCACTGAAATTAGATTAGTAGGCATTAAATCAGTAGGCTCATTCCATACATGAAATATATAAAAAGTATACAAAAGTACAAAATGCAATATGTACAAGGGTACAGCACACACGTGTCCCCGATCTAAGGCTTCCATAATTGTTTTACTACCTACATATAGACTAAAGAATGAAGGTTTAAAATAATAATCTGTTTATCTCCTCTCGTCTGCTAGCAGACTTGTGTTTTGGCAATTAAAAGGCTCCAATATATTTAAAATCTAAACGTGCCTACTTTTTTTACATATTTATCAGTTACTCGTTCAGTAGATGTTATTTAACTATAATCATCATATACACAGGGTCTAGTGTAGGTTTATTTCACATAAACTCGCTCGCGTTTGGCGTTGCGATTGGCCCGCGCTAAAATCTTCACCAATCACACTCACTTGCTTAATTAATATAGTTCCAAAGCTCAAGTTTGTTACACTTCCAAAGGATATCAAAACGTGAAGAAATGGAACCAGACTTCTGTCTGGTTCCATTTCTTCATTCTTTCTTCATTTCTTCTTCATATCTGTTCACACAGAGACAGAGACACACAGAGCTGTTCGTGTAGATACTTAGAAAAGTATCTACACGAACAGCTCTGTGTGATCTAAATTGCACTTTATTCCGTAGGAGCCAAAGTCTTTATTTCTTTAAAAGGGTTTCATTAAGTGAGACTTCTGTAGAAGATTTAGTACCTTCATATACTTATGGGGCAATAACAGTGAAGATACTCACAGGCGATAAAGCTTTCACTCAATAGTCTATTTTACTTAACTACCTACATCTATGACACATTTTCTAAGTTACATTTTGGAAGACTTAAAATAAGTGGAAAAAAATAAGTAAAGGTATTAATTTTTGCACCACAGTCGTTCTCAGTCGGAGGCGATGGGTACCCATTAGTATGCAACTTGTTTGAGCAAATAAAAGTTTTTTTTGACTGTTCTTGAAAAAGGGATTATTAACTGTTGACAGACTTCAAAAAAGAGAAAAGGTTGTCAATTGAATTGTATTTTTGGTCGTTTGTTATGTTTACTATGCTTTATTTTTTCTAAGCTTTTTTATTTCATTTTACCATTGTCAGTGTACCCTGTTTAAAACTCCAGTTTAAAAATATATAAGTACATAACCAAATTATCGAGTTTCGTGTAGTTATTAATATGCATAGCACGTACATGGTTAAATTAACCTAGTTGGCAAAAAACTGTTTGACTAGTTATCATTCGATGCCAAATAATAATTGTGACGTCACACGTCACACACGGTAGTCTGGTCCCAAACTAGGCAGCCTGTATTGTGGTAACCAATCTGCTGATAAACATACTTATATGTTTGTAAATACATACATGTTATAGATAAATTACACCCAGACACAGAACAAATAATCGTGCTCATCACACAATATTTGTCCTGGGTGGGAATCGAACCCACAACCTCCGGCTTAGCAGTCAGGGTCACTAACCACTAGACCAACAGGCCCGTCAAACTAACTTGTAATGTTATTGCTACCGTTACTTATTGTAAACCCTGCTTCACAGACTATGGTTTCAAGAAATGATGGTTTAGTGCGAAAGAGTGGACCTGCTTGGTCAGGGGGCGGGGCTTGATCGATGCGTCACTATTTTCTTAACGCGAATTGACTATCGTTACTTGTTATCGACGTTTTTCCTTTAATCCACACTAATAAATGCCATACATATCAGTACCCAGTTCATAAATAAACACTTTCCAGGCCTATTACAAAAAACCGGTTCCATTGTAGATGAGTGGACTTTTTATGGTTTTTTTTTTAAGCTAATTTTTTTAGTGATGTCTATACAATCAATTCTCGCGAGGTTAGTGGAAGTTTTTTGTTGCGATTTCTGCCTTTTTTTTTGTAATAGGTCTCTTAACAAACTGATACAGAATGGACCCTACAGTTTGGAGTCAAAGAACTGAAGCTCCTTGTCCTGTGGGAGCCTAACGAAGTAGCCCTCAACGTAGTCGTCGTCCACTTCAGCCAGAGAGGCAGGTTTCCACTTGGGATTGTTGTCTTTATCTATCAAGAGGGCTCGAACTCCTAGAAAAAAAAACATATTTTATTTTATTGGTCTGCCTTATGGGACTAATCCCTCCCACACGCCCACAACTGTAACTCCTGTACACTAGGATCAACAGCAGTGAACCATGCATACACTGAGTTATAACACTCGGGAAGTTCCAGAAAAAAAATTAAAATGTCTGTGTTCCCCGTAACGAAATTAATCAAAAGAAAATTGGAGGAGTTGGAAATATAATAAACCTACTTCCCTCCTTAGCAAAGCCTTTTCCCAATTGTATTAGGGGTCGGCGCAGTATGTATGATTTTTCCATTCTAATCTGTCATGCGTCATCTCACTGTTTACTCCCTTCCTAGCCATATCCTCCTTCACGCAGTCCATCCACCTTTTCTTCGGTCTGCCTCTTCTCTTGTACCCTTCAATTCCCATACCTAAAACTTTCTTCGCCACATTGTCCTCATCCCTCCGCATGACATGTACATACCAAGATAACCTATTACTTCTTAACTTTTCATCCAGTGGCGCTACTTTCAGACTCCCTCGTATATACTCATTCCTAACCTTGTCCATCTGAGTCACACCACACATCCATCTCAGCATTCGCATTCGCAGGCGTGTCTCATCCGTTCTCTTAATACTTACTTAACTAACTTAACTTAACTTTCAGAACCATACAGGACGGCAGGTCTGATAATAGTTTTATAAATTTGTCCCTTCAGTGTTAAGGGGAAACTGGTGTCACAAGTTGTTCCCATTACCTGCCGCCACTTCATCCATCCCGTATTGATTCGATGCTGTACAGTTCGATCAATCTCACCATCACATCGTAAGAGGGAGCCGAGGTACTTGACAAAGCGGGACACAAAATGAAGTGAAAAAAAAAACTCTTCCAAACAAGGAAGCACCACGGCCACACAATATTATGGGTCCTAAGTGAGCTATATTTGATGTCCATAATATGTATGGCAGAATCGATCTGCCTTATTGTAGACATTATCCCTCTTCCATTGGTTAACTGCTGTTGGTTATAATTCGAAGAGTCACATGATGGTAAGTGACTATCGCCACCACCCGCTGTTGCCTGTAAATGCTCGTCGCCCCTTCCCCAAAAATATAACTTATGTGCCTTTAAACTAAACTCCTATAAAAGTTTTGCAAACACGTCACATATAAATCCAAAAAAAAAACATAATAAAGTATTATAATTAACGTCATATATTATGTGTTCGCATAAATAAATTAACATAATTTATTTTTGTCCTACATCCTTACAATATTGATAGTTGTTTTCTAGTTCTTTCGTCAAACTTTTAGTGGCGGTGGTCTAATATTGGAACTGTGTGTGTTTTCTTATATATAAAATTCTCGTGTCACAATGTTAGTTACCATACTCCTCCGAAACCGCTTGACCGAGATCGGGTAGGTCTGAGAATCGGCCAACATCTATTTTTCATATCCCTAAATGACAAGGGACCCACCCATAATTGTTTTTTTTCAATATTTTTTTTATGGCAAAATAACGTTTGTTGGGTTAGCTAGTAATAAATAAAAGTAATAGTTGAGATACTGCATACCTTCAGGGAAATCATTATTTTCAATAGCGCGACACGCTAAGCGGTACTCCATCTGCAAGCATTGGCTCAGATCCAGCTGAGCGCCACGCTGGAGGGCACGAAGCGTGATCTTCAACGAGCCCGGGCACATTTGGTGAAGAGTCTAAGAGACCACAAAAAGTAGGGATTTAATTCTTATATGTGTTGATATGTTTTGACTCACGCCTTTATACTCAATGGGGTAGGCAGACTAGGCAGAGGCGTATTAGATGCCCACATTTTCTCAATTATAATTTTAGTACCAATTACATAATTGGGACATGCCTAGGCAAGCCATCAACCACTTTAGGGATTAGATGGAAGAATTGGGAGAAGGCAATGGTATGAACGGGGTGTTGCTATACGGATGGATAGACGAATGCGAGCAGGTCAGCGTAGCAAACCTCGCTGAAAAGCCGAGCCCTCTTCAAAAACGATTATCGAGAAAATTTTCATACGCATAGTTACAAGACTACAGAAATGGACATCATTAACTATTCTTCATCTAGAAAATAGTACTATTCCTAGGAATAGGAACATAAATATTAATAAAAAAAACTCCTGGTGGGAAGAGAAGGATGCCTAAAGGAAAAATTTACAGACAAATCTTTTCATCTTGCAGTCAAGGTAATTAACTTTACTTTCAATGAAGTTTAATTATTGTAAATAAAACATAACATAAATCAGTCTCTCTCTAAAACTTTGTGAAATACTATACTCTGGAAATACTCTAACCTAACTACAAAGCAAGCATTCGAGGACATTGATATTACCGTTGAAACCTGGATGATTATGATAACAGAATCGAATTTTAACTCACCTTCAAAGTCTTCTCCGACCATTCATTATTAACTTTCTCAAGCCTCTCAATTATCTCCTCAATCGAGGAAGCAGCAAAGCAGTAATTGATATGCTTGATATTACTTGATAATGAGAATTCGTCCGAGGACTCATGAAAGTTGTTAAGCAAGGAATTGATTTCACCATCGCTGGTACAGCGCGATAGTAGAACTTCGAGCTCGTAAAGCCTCTTGCTAGGAACATAGTGAGTTGCGATGCCTGATTTCACTACATCGTTACCCTTGAGTCTGTCACCTATAAACCACATAGGTATTATAAAACTGTAGTTTAAGTAGTGTAGTATGCTGACTTGTTTGGTGTAAATGAGGTTTTGGCAAGTGATGGGCAACTGTTTTAAATCATGTAAAACATAATTAATAAGAACAAAAAGACATTTAGGTTTGGATGTCAACCGAGGCAGTTAATTAGAAGCTCATGATTTAATATAATTTTCAATTTAAAAATGATGCCTTTTTGGCATTGATCTCAAATGAAATTTAAAAATTGGAAGAATGATCCATTATTTCGCATTTGAAACATATCTTCAAATAAAGACATCGTGTAGACGTTAAATACAATTCTTAAAGTAAAATAATTTACTTACCAGTCAATCCTAAATATAAACCTAAATTAACTTGCAGTCTTGGAAGGAAATATGATCCACCGACATCCGGAAACAATCCAATCTTCGTCTCAGGCATGGCAATCATGGTCTTCTCTGTAGCTATCCTGTATCTGCCGTGGACTGAGACTCCAAGTCCTCCTCCCATGGTAATGCCATTTATGATTGCTATGTAGGGAATCTTGTATTTGCCAATAAGGTAGTTGACATTATATTCTGTATGGAAGAAATTTGGACCTACATTTTTGTCTATAGCAGATTTGACATCTCCACCTGCACAAAACGCCTTGTCTCCAGCCCCTTTAACGATAACTAAGGATTTCTGACTCTCCCATTCCCGCAGCTGTGGTAACAACTTGGTTACCATAGACGTGTTGAGAGCGTTTAGAGCTTTCGGACGGTTTAAAGTGATGATTCCAGCGTTGTTGAGAGTTTCGAAGACGACATCCTGTTCTTGACTAGACATGGTACGTTTTAGTGCTAACGACGCTGAGCGTGTAAGTTTTATGCTTAATTTGAACATCTGTAAAACAATTTTCATTTTATGTATTGATACGTGAAATTTGATTATGGCAGAGGTGCGAAAAACATTATTTAGTAAGAATTTTTAAGAGCATACGTATTTTGATGGAATCTTTGGAAGTGCAAAACTGACACGGAATATATGTTTTTTTACTAGGTATATGTATAACTATATCATGGACAGGATATATATCATAGTAAAGGAAAACTTATTGTTATATCGAACAATACACTATAAAACAATCGAATAATTGCAAAAGTACGCATTCGTTTTCTATTTGAATTGCTGCACGTACTGCTAAAATGTCAATTAATAATCATTATTAATCTTTTTTCTTTTTTTTTTTCTAATGCCTATTTAAGTGGAACAATATATGAAGGCTCCTTTACCGAGCCTCAACTTTTTGGAAAATATAGATACGGAGAGATTTGAGATTATATTAAGACTAGCTTTTGCCCGATTTAATTAATTAATAATTACCTTACACACAGCAGTCCCAGACTAGGCTGAGCCTGTGCTATGGTAACCAGAATACTTATAAACATACTAATAGATTTCTAAACACATACAGAACTATTCATTGTGCTCATCACACAAATAAATAATTTAACTGGACAGAGAGGCTCCCAGCCAGTGGTACTAATTCTGTTGTTCAAAAACTCTAAACTAAAAATCACTAACAATTACTTTAGTCCTGTCAAACAACATTTCGCGTACTGAAAACATAGGACTTAACTATATTTAGTTTGATACAACCAAAATTATTTTATTTTTAATTGGATTGATGTTATTGTTTGTTAAATATTTTATTATAAATACCTTTTTATCATGCCCAAATTTACTTGCATAGATTCAGAGATAATCCGTTAGTTACATAAATAAAAGGTTTACTGCGGGTTGGCATTAATGTGAACCAGTGTGAAACAGTTTTACTCAGATCACATTATGGCACATTATGGCAACCTGCAATAAACCTTTTTCTTATTTATTTACTTAGAAACTTAATACTGCAAAAGACAACATTTTGTTTACTATTTGATTTATTATATGTATTACAAAATCATTTACAGGAATTTTAAAATCCTTATATGAGTGATATCATTACAAAAGATTATTAATTCATTCTTTATCATTCATTCTTAATTTTAAATAACAGTAACACTTTCCTTTTTAACTTTTAGTGATGTCAGATTAAAATAAAATGCTGTCTTAATGAACACCAAATTTAGTTCAACTTGACAACAGAATAGCATTTTGGAAATCGCCTTACTAAAATAAGAGAATTTTGAAGAACTTTTAGTTTAGTTGTGTCAACAACAGACTATAGAATACCAGCAACTGTATAATTAGTTCTACACATTTTAGTTAGACCTGCTTAGATAGTACACAACTATTCAAATTCATATTCCTGAAGCAGTGCTAATAAACATACTTACTATTGTATGAAATTGTGTATGCTGTATAATTTATCTATAAAGTAGGTATTGGTGCTAATGCTGTTGTTCAAAAACTCTCTAAACTAAATTAAAAATCACCAAAAAAAAATGTTGTGTCCTGTCCTGTCAAATATTACGTTTACAGAATAGGAAACATTGTTTCACAGAACTAAACAATTTTTTTTGTGATGTTTAGTTTATTTTAGAGAGTTTTCGAACAACAGAATTAGCACCATTGAATTATGCCACATACAATTCTATACCAAACACCAACACTGATTAAATGGTATCAACCAATGTTCTTCCATCACCAGAATACCATATTCTAATAAATAATATAAATTGTGATAAAAGCTATTGTGAATGGTTTTCTTATTTATAAATGATAAATAGTTTTACTCACATATTTTCGGAATTGCCAACAGGTCTTGTTAGAGCCTGACAGGAGACTTTTTTCAAGGGGTGATGTTTCACGCCTTGAAAAAAGTCACTGTTCAATTAAAGTCACATAAGCAAGTAACTGTATATCTTTTATAAATAATTTTAATTATTTACTGTTCTAACTGTGATCTCTAAGAAATAATCTTATGATTAAACGTTAATAATATTTAGTAATGTTCAGTAAATATTCAGAAATTGCAACATGTGGTGGTTTTACCTATTGAATTCCATTATTTATTTTTTATTTATTATTTACACCTTTTTATTATTAGTTTTACAGTGCATGCACATGCTAATAAAAATTATTTAGGCTCTCTCATTATTCATAGTAGGCTGTATAATATTTGTCTGTGCTTATGTTATGATAGAAAATAAATAATGACATTGACCTACTGGTCTTAGTCCCATGAAGAACAAGGAACTCTTATTGGAACTAACATTGCCGAGTACAGTCAACTTATCAATAGATATATTTACATAACAATAGACAAGGATTAAACACCAATGAATGCTTATTAATATGGGCTTGTAATAACATTTTATAGTTAATAAACATAAAGATTCTTTAAGCATCATTAAAATAAGGCACATGTGCGGCAAATACGGTACAGATAACAAAGAATTGCATAATTACTTACTTTGAACCTACAAAAACAGCCTTATCAAAATACTCGCCGAAAACAATAATGTACTCTTATCTAATGATTATAAACCACACCATTTATAAATTGACAAATATAAAAGGACCGTGAACCAAAATGTTATTGCGTATAAGTGATAATGAAGATAAAATTAATAAATCTACCCAATAACCGGTCTACGAAGTTTGCGAAATAGCGTGACTATTTTTTTTTTTGCCTGAGAATAAACGTCACGTATATTGTCACTTTACTCCAAACAACAGCTGATAATAAAGACTTCATTCCGAGAAAAAAATATTTGACCACGGTAACAGCGATTTCGGGTGTCATCATACTTTCAATTTTTTATTACTTTTAGTTCACTAATATAATGCAAGAAGTGCCTGGAAGATGATTTTCTACTATATTTCTTACCTTGTATTATACAGTTCTTTACAATTTTAAAATATGTGGAAGTAACTTTTGTCTTTCTAACGAACGTATTTATTTAATTAATGTCAAAAGTTTTGACATTCCCATCATTTGAATCATTGCTAGCTTAATTTATATACCCGTAATATTTAGTTAAAATATTAGATGTAAGTATTTTTAAAAGTAAATGACGAATCGCGGCTAAAGATCAAGCTTTTTATCCAGTATCTAGTATATTACGCTGCTGCATCCGCAGAAAGCTTCAAACGGCGTAATTACCAAAACTTAGTAGGTAGTTAAATTTTTGAACCGGTTGGGGTTGAGACGCTAGGGTCATGGGGTCCGAGTGCGCGTACTATGCATAAACAACTGACCGATACTTCTCGTGATTTCTGATCCTGCCTTTTTCTGGCACAGAGATATCATTATTGCCATTCAACGTGGCAATGCTGTCAGTCTTCTGGGAACGCTACTATAAGGCGATGGCGCGGAGGAATTTTTTGATCTTGATGTAAATATTGAAATGTTTTTAATTGTATTTTTTTATTAATTTATAAATAATGTAACCTTTATATTATGTTAAGCCTATTAATGATTATGTATACTTAGTTTTTAGAGTTGTAATCTGGTAGAAAGTAATGGAATGTTTGCACCACATCTAAAAGTGGGAGTTAGTGACTGCGCCACAGTGTTTCACTGATGCAGTCATTATCAAACACTTTTGATTTATTGTAATCAGTTGGCAGTTCTAAATAAAGAATTTATTATATATGTGGTATCTCAAGTATAAAAATAATTTGTACAAGAATCGTAAAATTGAATAAAGCATAATTTTAAATTAATTTTTAATAAGTGTTTGATTTAAGTTAGTTCGAAACCTAATTTATAAAATTTGAAGTTGCAATTTAATTCAGGTAACGTGTCCATTATCCTTTTTATCATGTGTGGTGAAATTAAATTCAAACTTTGGGAACATCACTAGAAGTTAGCAAGCTTGGTGGTAATGTCAATAATGTCATGTTGACATCTTCGTATCTTGGAATTCTTGGAGTTGGATGTGGAATCGAAACTTAAATCAAAACTTGTCAGAAAAATAAATTCCAACTAGATTTTACAATAAGCAAAGCAAGGGTACAAATGGGTATTACAAGAAAATTTCTTAATTGGTATGCTAGACTATCTCCTGCTCGTGGGAAATCAAACCCGCCTTATGAGCATATCGTACAAATTGGTGATCCAAGATTACGTAAAGTTTCAGAGCCTGTACCGCTCGATAAAATTAAGACAACTGAAATACAAACAGTTATTAAAAAACTAGACTATGTTACCGTGAAGTACGGCAGTCTTGGGATGTCTGCACCTCAAATTGGTGTGAATGTGAGAATTTTCGTAATGCGACACACGATGAAACAAATTGCAGCAGCTCCTAAACACATAGCTCAACTGCGGGGTATGGAGGTTATACCGTTTACTGTGAGTAAGTATTATAGGCTTCATGATTATCTTTTACTTATTACAAAAAAACGTCTACATTTGTTTGTTTTTCTACTTTACTATAAAACTATATTATAGTCAGGTCTTGTATCACTAACTTTAGTTTTTTTTTTATTAGCCTTCATTCGGGCACAACTGTATATCTTTGTCATTCAAACATCATTATTTTTTTCCATTTTTGTGTGTCCGTTTGCCAGGTGGCAAAGGCCTGCTCAAATGTTCTCCATTCTGGCCTTTCTATGGCCACTCTACCCCATGTTATTCCCGTGACTTGTCTAATGTCTTGTGTAATGTGTGTTTTTAGTGATTACTTGCTGAAAATATTTTAGTACAGTTTTATTGTAAGAAGACAGAATTTTAATTCTTTTAAATATTATGTACTTTTTTTGTCTTATATTTGAGTTAATATACTAATTCGAATGCAACAAATAATTTGGTTCTTTTGACACTAATTTGCCAATTACCAGTTACACCAACAAGTCCATGTGTTAGCCCACTATTTCATAAAAAAGAAATTAAATTATTGTCTTCTATAGAATATGGTCGCAATCTTATGATGTAATTAATAGAAAAACAATGTTTGCAAAAAGTCTGTTATTGTGAACAATAATTTTAGATTGCAAATTGCAAGAGTCAATATAAATTTGCTGACAATACAAACAATATTTATAAGTATAGGATAATAAAGAACAGGTATAATAATAAGCCCTTTATTCTGAATTATCTAAATACACTATTAAACAGTTCATAAGATTAGTCTATAAAATATCTCGCAATTCAGCGTGCCTCTTGGCATAGGCCTCCTCTAGCACTTTCCATTGGGTTCTTGTCTTGCGCTACCCTACTCCAGTGGTGTCCAGCTGTTAGCCTCATGTCATCTGCCCATCTTGCTTGTTGGCGTCCACTATTACGTTTGTCATCTCTGGGGTACCAGTCACAGATAGTCGTACTCCATTTGCCATGCCTGTCTCTAATTATGTGACCGGCCCATCTCCACTTCATTTGGTCTATTCGAGTGAGAATGTCAGTAACTTTAGTTTTTTCTCTTATTTAACTACTTCTTATTTTGTCCATCCTCCTTGTTCCTGTCATGCTTCTCTCCATGGCCCTTTGACAACGTTCCAGTTTAGCTCTGTGGAGTTTGGTAAGTGCCCATGTTTCACAGCTATAGGTAATGACTGGAAGTATGCAGGTGTTGAAAGCCTTTCTTTTAGTAGACATGTTTAGCTTGTTTGACTTCATAATTTCTTTCAGCGACCAGTACTTTTTCCATCCATTTGCTATTCTTCTATTTATTTCTTTAGTTGTTTGTTCTTCGTGAGAGTTTTTTTTTTATTTAAAAAAAAAAAGAACAGGTATATAAAAGTTTTAAATGGGGATGGTCCTTAGCTTTCTCTGAAATGGTGCCACACTAACAAACTTTCATATCCAACTGATAGTATTCAACCTTGAAAAAACCGGCTCGAAGGACCATTAATCTAGGGGTAGTTTCCCTAATATTACTGATAGGTCACTAGTTTGATAAATGAGTAGACAACTTTACCAAATGATGATTTTATTGCTACTAAATTATGTACAAAAATTAAGTGTGTAAAGTTAGTGCCTATGCATAACATTTGTATTGCACACATAGTGCAATACAAATGTTAACTGCTATAAATGTGCGGGTTTGCTTGTACACTAATGATATTATATCCATCAGTAGTAGCAGTATCTTGAATATGAGAAAGTATGAACTCCCTCCTATTGGTGGTTAAATCTCATACTTCAATTTTATCATTGGATCTTTCTAGGTATTCATAAATCCAAAGCTGAAGGTGGTTGACTACCAGAAAGTAGTTCACAGTGAAGGATGTGAAAGTGTTCAAGGATACACAGCAGAAGTGCCAAGATACAAAGCTGTTGAAGTAACAGGTACTTAACAAATTTTTTATTTGTTATTATTTAAAAAGGTGATATTTTACAATTCTAACTTTTAAACTTTCGCGTTCCATGATAATTAATATTATTTAACGGTGCAACCTGGTCGAAACGTCAGGCAAACCAGAGGTATGTAATACCCTAAATAAGAGATCGCGTTAATTCCCGTTAAATAATATTAATTATTTTACAATTTACTAATATTTTTCTACATGTATGTCTAATAATGCTTACTGCAGGTCACAATGAACTGGGAGAGCTGACATCTAAAGTGTTCCATAACTGGGGAGCTCGGATAGCGCAGCACGAGATGGACCACTTGGATGGCAAGATATACACTGACATTATGGACAAGAAAACTTTAGTCTGCACATGCTGGGAAGAAGTCAACTTGTCTAAAGGGAAACTTGTTATACCTTTTAGTCCATAGTCATAGTAAAAAATCTTAATAATTTACCTACTTTGTATTTTAATTTATCCAACTGACGAGCAGGTCCTGTCCATGTGGTGACGGATTGAGAATACGCCACCAACCCCAATCATCTCATGGGTGTCGTAAGAGCTGACTTAGGGAGCAAACTACGCAGGACAACAATACTGCAAAGAGAAGGAAAACTTGATGCAAAGTCTTTACCAACCCGTCTGGCCAGTGTGGTATAGTAGGCCAAAACCTCCTTTCTAAGGAGAGGCCTATGTCCAGCAGTGGACTGTTAAAGGCTGTTGATGATGGTAATAATAATGATGATGAAAAGCAGGGTCCTAATAGAGACTGAATAAAAAAAACTCAAAATGTAAGCATTTGTTTATTTGATATAACTTTCATAATAGAGCAATATCTGTTTAGTTTCGAATAATACTATAAACACAGACCAAGGAAAGGTCAAAACATTTTTGCCAACAAGTTTTTCAATTTATTTTACACATTTATATACTTAATTTTTTTATTTTTACTATCTTTGAAGGTACAGAGAAGAGATATTTGTTTTTACACGTGGGATAAAGTGCATACAAAATCATGAAAGTTGGTACTTTGTTTACACACAATCAAACTGCATATGTGCATTTGTTCAAACTAGCAAAATTAAAAATGGAATGTTAAGGCAAAATAGTCTGAAGTCGTTTTCTTGGTCTGCGTATACATAGACGTACTTTATATATTACGAAGTGGATATAAGTACAATAACTAATAAATAACATTTAACTAAACTAATTTATTATTATATCCTAATGTTGTCTTTAATATAAAACAATTTTACAACTTTTTTTTTAGAGCTTGCAACATTAATCTGTTGTCGATGAGGAGATAGCAAATCGTTCAAGTGTTGTGACTTAAAGCCTTAAAGCTTTTAAAATCTCAATAACTATGTAGTTGTTATTAGCTGCTATGGTACTAATATACACATAAATGTAATATTTAAACACTAACACTGTTTGTTCGGCTATTAATATAAGATGCATTTTAAACGAATTCTTGTTTAGTTTCTATAACAAATAATAAAATACCTTAAGGGACCGTCCGCACAGCGATATTTCATAGCGCGGTTTTTGTTTCTGCAGAAATAAATCGACACCGTATCGCGTTCAAATTTCATCAAATTACGGGTTCTGTTCGATTTTTTTTCCGCCGATTTTTAGATCCCATGTGTCAGAATTTTGCGTAAAAAAACGTGCGGTGAAATATTGCTGTGCGGACGGGCCCTAATTGTATTTTTCATCTAATGACCGGTGATGATCATGCTTTTAATCTTTATTAGCATGCCAAATTTCAATATAAAAATTATTTAAATTGAAAATCTTAGATTCCACTTGTGAATTAACCGTAATAACTTTTTATGTGACATGTGACATATCCAGAGTGAGCATATTAAAATTAAAAAATACCAACCCTAAGGGCAAAATCAAATGCTTTGAATCCGTTTGCACAAGCTGGTTAATGGTTGACATCCGAATAGACAAACAAAAATTTCATACATCTGGTTTAAAATCTTTAGATATTAGATTATTTATTAACATCAAGGGTAATTATGTATCACTGTCTTTGTTGTAGTTATATTTAACTCTCTGTGCATAGGATTTTGATTTTTGTATACTGTAATTAAACATTACTTTTCCACCCTTTCACACTATATCTATCTCTTTCTCCAATTCAGTTCAAATCACTACCTAACCTTGGATATGGTAATATACACTACACATTTTTGACCGTACATTGGAAATATCTAATCACCAACAATTTTAGAGTAGTTGAGCTTTGCTATAATTCCCAGTAACCTGCAGAGGAAAAGAATCTCTGGTGCGAAGTAATTAAGCATATAATCGACTGCACGCTGCAACTATACATTATTGTTTATAACTGTGCAAGTTCATTTGAACTATATTACTTTGCAGACAGCGTCTATATTAATTTAAATGTAGGTGTAGTGAGCTCTTTCTGTACTCAGTACTATGATTAATGTACATCTGCTTCTAGCAGTTATAAACAACATAAGGCCATTTATATTTCTCCTAAATTAAACAGTGATATTACCATATCCCTTCTCTTATAGTACCTTCTCTCTTGAAGCTTTCTATCGCAGTTACCTAAGCGGATTGCTGGCTAGTGAAGTGAGGCTGGTGAGAGATGAGGGTCCTGACGCTGCGAGGCTTAGTCTGTCAGTTTCTTCATCAGCTTGGTTGTTGCGAAGCTCTTGTAGAGTGTACACGAATTTGCTCCATTCGTCGTGGCGGGGTTGTGAGACGTGCTACGGGAAAAAATTGTTCTATATTAATTTTAAACATTAGCAGATGTCTCTACTCAACTGTATCTTTGCCTCCCACTAATAAGTCGATGATTATGCGGCTACTATTTACAACAAACATTACTACATTACTATTAAAGGCTGTTGATGATGATGATGATGATGTATCTAATATTTATCTTAAGAGAAAAAGGTAAGTCAAAAAAAGGTATTAATACATCAGCCAGTTCGTAAACCCATATCTTGCCGGCGTCATCTCCAGCTGTCACGTGGGTACCGGCAGGGGTCCACGACACTCGGTTGAACGCTACGCCACCTTCCGCCTGGATGGAAGCGACGGGCACCTGCAAGCGATGTCAATGATGAGTGATGAGTAGGATAAGCGACATACATTTATATAACAACTGGTAAAGTATATGAAAAAATTTAATTGATCGGCTTTACAATTTTCTGAGTAAGTTTTTTTTATTACTTTTCACACCAGAACCGTCGAAATTCCTTTAATTTTTATTTGTATGTCACGGGTAATTTCGACTTGGTTTCACTGTGGTGCGTTTGTGTAATTTTTTGGCAAAAAAATTATAAGGATATGAAATTCTTATAATATCTTTACTTTTGTATGAAAATACTTTACTGATGTTGATAAATTGCAAATAATGGTATGATTTTTCACAGAACATATTCGTTGCGTTTACTAACAGCAATAATAGTCGATGCCGACTCCGTAGAAGCCACTGAACTTAAAAGAGTACTGTGGAATAATGGATTTTTAAAGGATTTTGGCCGACCAGGCGAGGTGATCATGCCTGGTAGGTCTAATCGGCTGAGATCTTTTAATATCGCTTTCATTAGATGGCACTATAGTATGCTTTTGTTTCACTGTTTGTGGAAGTCGCCACAGTACAATGTTCTTGAGATACAACGTGTTCCAAAGTACCTCGGTGTCCCTGTTGAGGTTCCAGAGGTCGAGTCTGCCGGCAGCATCCGCGGCGGCGAAGAGCGCGGGGTGCGTGGGCGACCAGCGCACGTCCACCACGTAGTCCCCGCTGTCCTCGAACGAGTACAGCGCCTTGTTCTCCTGACGGAACAGATCAAATATTCAAGTGCTTCATTAATTAAGTTTTTTTTATTTTGATGGATTAGGAACTATTTCAACCATAGACAAAAAAATTTGTAGTCATATTTTTTTTGACAAAAAGACGTGTTGTTAGTTTAGGCTTGCCGCCAGCTCCAATTATAAGTATGTAATACTGAACTGTTCCAGCTGTTGCTTACACAGCCTTATCCATTCAAATAAGCAATAACCCTTGTGTGTATTTAATGTGAATCTTTGTAGAGGGTCAGACCGGCTGTTGGCGTGGCAACGCGTCGCCACTTTATGTGATAGTATATGTAACGTTTAACACAACATGATGTGATGCTATATTCCTTTCATAAGCTATTATTTCATACTCATTATTTCTACCAAATAATTTCAATTTTGTCGCGTCTTCTAGGAGACGATGACGACGCATTTTTTTTTCATTTGATTATTCTTCCAATATTCTTTAATATTGGAAGAATAATCTTATTCCGTGAGGAACACGTTATAGTATACAGAGAAGCAATTTGTGGGACTCTGTGTATCCCTTAGGGTAAATTAAATGACAGGATATACCTTCTGGCTCCACAGCTTAACAGACCAGTCCATGGAGCAAGTGAGGTAGAGGTGCGACAGGTCTACGGAACCAGCGGCAGCGTGACAGGACACGCCCGTGATGGGACCCGCGTGAGCCTCCACGCACTCCGTCACTCCGGCACGCTGACCGTACAGACAACCTGGGGATATTACCGAATAATATTAAAGTGGTGAAATGAAATGTTGTGTCGATAATGAATAACTACCCTAGCTATGTTTTCTTTGTAACAGGTCTTTACCTATGAAATTGCCGTTTTGTACGCATTGGCAGTTTATTGTACTCTCCCTCATCCGCCATACTCACCAGACCTTGCACCTACCGACTATTACTTTTTCCAAAATTTAGACAACTTTTTAGTGGGTAAAAAATTCAATTCCCGAGAGGCAGTACAAAATGCCTTTGAAGAGTTTGTTGCCTCCCGTATAAATAACCCTTATAAGAGAATACCAATAACCAGACAGACGGACAAGAAAGTGATCTTATAACCCTTATAAGATCACTTCCTTGCCCGTCTGTCTGTCTGTCCATGTGTCACCACCGATTTTCTCAGGAACGGGTAGACCTAGCAAGTTGAAATTTATACCAGATACTGAGGTCTATGGTCCCTATTAGCTGTATAAAAATCAACATGACCGGTTTTTTTTTTTAAAAAACAACTCCCGCATTAGGTATATATTGTGTCGCGGGGGACTATACAAACATACATGAAACGGACACAAAATTACTTGCGTCGAGTGTTTGATGATAAAGCAAGGAGATGGATAGAAAGTAAAACTTTTTAGTTAGGTTCGCTATTGAATAGTTCTTTTTAAATTTATTCATAACTAACTTTTTCCCGCGGCTCCGCACGTTAAATGTATGTCGGGTATCGAGGTAAAAGTAGCCTATGTTACTCGCTGATAATGTAGCTTTCCATTGGTTAAAGAATTTTTTAAATCGGTTTAGCGGTTAAAGCGTGAAAGTGTTACAAACAAACAAACTAATAAGCTTAGTAAATTTTCTGACAGCGAATTAACTCACCCGTATAGATGTTGCCATCCTCACTTCCCAACACAAAGTTGTTGACATCCCCATGTGGGAAACCCATGGACGTGACGGCGACAGCCTTACTCTGCCTGTGTTGAAGGTCCAGGGTCTCTTGAGGCTGAGACAACATGTCCAAGGACCAGGAGCACATACGACCGTCCGTGGACACTGAGATCAGGTTATGAGCGTTCTGACTGCCTACTACGGAGAGACAGTATACTGGATGCTGTGGGCAAATTTTCATAACCATGAATTTATCGTTATCAACAGCCTTTAACAGTCCACTGCTGGACATAGGCCGCTCCTTAGTCGGCTCTTATGACACCCACAGAATGAATAGAAGTGGGGGAACTCCGTATTAAACCGTCACCACATGGAAAATCATGAACTTCGTCAAGTATTCGTTTTATCAATTGCTTGCTGGTACTTAGAGTTACCGTTTAAAAAAATTACCTCAAACCATTGTACTATATGAAGCTTGCGATGAGTGTATTGTCCGTAACGACAATATGTCCTCAACGGCCCACCGTCACCTAGTCCGTCTACTTACTGACCGATATTAAACCTAACCCCGAATCCACTCATATGGCGACAAGAAGCACTCAAAGCCTTCTCGGCTTCGAGTAACTGAACTTATTTATTGATAAATCTAGTCACCATAAACTATTGTTTTTAATAGTAAATGTTTTCACGTTACAATATTCTCGAACAACTTTGCAAGGAAAACTTATACCGTAGATTCTAGAAGGTAGAAGAGAAAAGCACTAAAGAAATAATTGTACTGAATATATAGGTATTAAGGGGGCGTCCATTAATTACGTGAGGCGGTCAGGGGGGAGGGGGCCGAGCTGAATCTCATCTAATCTTACTTTGGGGAGAGTGTATCGGCAAATATCATGTAATTTTTTATGCGCAAGAAACAGCGTAAAATTGCGAGAAAACTGGGTTAAATTAAATAAAACATGTTCCTTCACGGAAATAGGGCAAAGTCTTATAAAATAATATTAATGATGGTGTTGCGAGTGCCGGGAAGTTGCACAGTAGCCTGTCGTTTGTTTACGCACCACCGCCAGCCTTTACACTAAAAACACTATTTTAAATATCTCACTAGAGATTGGGGGATGAGGGAGGGGGGTTAAATCAAATCTCATGACATCTCACCGTGGGGTGGGGAGAGGGGGGGGGGGGGGTTTAGAAAATTTGCCGAAAACACCTTACTTAATTTAACTAATGGACGCATGAATTGACATATAACTTACTGTGTGCGCGAGCGAAGACAACGGTGTACGTTGTATTGGCGTGCGTTTCTGCACGCGATTGTCCCACAGTACAATCTGTCCAGAGTATGTGCCTCCCAGGATCAGGTTGGGGTGGAACCTGTTGATAATAAAAAAATATATAATATAATTATATTAGTTATATATTTTTTAAATCTCATTTTATACGGTGGTGATATAAATGCGTACAAATTAACAAATAAATATTAATTTAATTTTACAATGTAGGGATACTGTGGCGACTCCTACATACAAAGAAACACAAACATACTACAGCGCCATCTAATGAAGACACACCGAACTACGGAGTAACTACTAAAATAAGAATTGCTAATCCTGTATCGCGATATAAAGAATTCCCTCGCCGATTAGCATATATACAACTTCCCAACATCAACCGTTGGGCCGCGGCCCGCCAGGCATGATCACCTCGCCTGGTCGGAGGATCCTCCCTTTGTGTTGGAGGGACATGACACCCGTTCCTCCACAATACTATACCATTTCTTTCAAGTTTTTGGGTGGACTCACCTTGCAAACGTAGCACTCATTACCGGCGACTGACAGTGGAATATGTCTTCAGGAGTAGTCTTCTTGAACTTAGTATTCCACACGAGGCAGACGCCGTCAGGGTCGTGAGGGGCATCATCGCTGTTGTGATACGAAGCCAGCATCAGCTCCGGGTGGACGGTCGACCAGTCCAGGCAGGTGACACAGCGACCCCGGGACCAACGTTCGTCGTAGAAAGTACGGACTAACGATAGACGGGCATCTGATTTGTCGTCCCTGGTTTAAAAATAAGAAGATATACAAAAGGCATATAAATATTTTAGGCGGTTTGTAGCTGGTATTTCTCGCATGGCTGAGCTTGTTTGTGACGACTCAGAAAGTGTACGATTCAATCTATCATCCCTCCTTAGACAATGTATGTGAACAAATCCCGCCTCTTACAAACTTTAACATGTAAATATATTTTCTGAGGGTGGTTGGTGGAGGTTGCTGTTAACTTATTTTACAAGCAAAAATGTATTATAACGTATGTTTCAAAATCGTTGGTTTTTGGTTTTCTATTTCTTTATTTAAGACAAGGGATTTTTGTACATAAAAATGACGATTTAAATCCTGTAGTATCTTATACTAAGCTAACTGCTAAATCAATTATTATTATTATTACTTAAAGCTTTCTTTCAATTACATTATTGGAGTATATAGCTAGATTTGTATACACAAACGTTCTGTACACGTTGTCTTTGAGTGGTATTGAGTTCTTCTCCCATCGTAAGATACCGAACCAAAAGATACCGCATGAGGTCGACATACGGTATATTTTGGTTAAGAAGGTATTATTATTCACTCACACACACATTCATAATTACATCCGGCAATTATTTTTTTACCACATACACAGAACGCCATCTAGTCTAAAACTAAGCAGAGCTTGTACTATGGCTACTAGACAACTGATATAAATACATATATACTTTTTTTTTGTAAATACTTATTATACATAGAAACACCCAGACCAAATCAAACATTAAATTGTTCATGCACACAAATGTTTGACTTGAGTAGGAATCGAACCCGCGACCTTTGAAATACAGTTCGTTACACAAAGCACTACGCCATTCGGTCATAGATTTTTGCCTGTCATGTGGAATTGTAGGCAAATGGCAGACCCTTTTGCCTGGTCTGCCTGTCTTGTTTGCCTCTGCAAAGAATATATAATTCTTTTCCGAGGCATTTAAAACATGTTCACTCACAGTGCATTCTCACTATCTCCTCCTCCAGTATAGTCGGTGTAAATGTCGACGGACTCGGCGAGAGCACGCTCAATGACTCGCCCCGCGCGACTCATAAACCGCTGGAACTCTGACGACAGCATGATGGTCTGCTTCTCATCAGCACTCAGCTCCCGAACTAAAATATTTTTTATTTTTTTTACTTCTATTTATAGTAAGTGACTGTTAATAAAACAGCGATGTCAACTCTTTATGAAGGTATTTCTTATGCCTTGTTTTAATAACTTTTAAAGTTTGACAAAGACAAAGCTACTCTTGACGTGGTGACATTGTGTGTGTAATTGTATATTTTTAGTTGAGAAAGAAAATCAATTTCCAAGGACTGTTAAACGAGTTTATAAAATGATGGCGGTTGAATTTTATTTGAAAAGATCACCACGATTTGAATGTCAGCCTGACATAAATTTTAGTACCTCGCTTTTCAAGTCTTCTTCAATAACCACTGTCTTTCTCTTCTTACACACACATACTTCTAACACACAGTCAGTGTACTGTTCGAGTTTCATGTTGAGATAAAAGCCACAGAACTATCTAAGAAGTGTCGCGTCACTATCGTAATATATTAAAAATTATTAGGTAATAAAAAAATATATGATGTGTACATAATCATAAAAGCTACCTTTCTTCTCTTTCTCTTCCTCCTTCTTCTCTTGCGGCGCCACAGTGACGGCAGGCTGCACCTCCTTGACGGTGGGGAGGCCATGCGGCAGTATGCCTGGCGGGAGCTTGCCATGGAACGCCGCGTCCTCATCGTCACCTTGCCGAGCGCCGTCGCCGTCGAATGTAAGCACTGGACGGTGAATAAGAATGGCCCTTGCCGGGACGGTGTGTGTGTTTGTGTGGTACGGCTGACTTATTTTGTGTTTGATGCAATGTTGTTTTTATTGTGTGGGTTTTTATATTGAGCTTTGTGATAAAGTTTAATAGATAAGATTTGATGAAAGAAGACACTCGACACTTGGTTATTTATAAACCTGTTTTAGTTTACAAATAAATTTGAATATAGGTAGGTTCGTTTTAAGAGACACCTACGGGAGTTAGATTCATTAAATGTGTATTTCAAGAAATATTTACCGTATTTAAAACAAAGGCATGTTTGCGTTTTCTAACATATAAAGGTAGTTTCACCATACTAAAGAATCAAGCTTACGTTTTACTCAAAAAGGTGTTAAAACACATCATTTTAGCATAAAGTTTTTTTATTGATTTAAACAGATTCTTTGTTTATTAAAGTCGACGGGCTTTGAAAGTTTTAGGTATTGTCGGGAGTGAGTACACTGGTGACGTTTTCGAAGGCACAGATAAGAGCCGACCGAATTTAAAAAAAAAATTACAATATTACAAAAGGGTATCCAAAGGTAAAAATATAAAAACTTTAAAAAGAAAACAATCATTTTCGAGTATTATTTAAATCACATTATCACTACTAATAAGTACCATTCACTACTAAAAAATACGACAAAAAAAGCCAGTGCCCCTGTCCATGTATTTTTTCTTGGTATTTTTTATCTTTATTTCAGAGCTTTATCTGTGTCAAAGTTGACTTTCAGTGCTTTATACATTTTAAGAAAACCCGACATGAATGAATAATGGAAGTGCATTTGATTTCGATTACATAATTTTCTATTTTTCTCATTAGTTTTAATATTGGCAGACATTTAAAGAATTTTAAGCTCATTTTTAACCCACAATATAAAAAAAGTTGTGTTATAAATCGGCCGTACTTATAATCGGGATATCATTTCATGAAGTTATCAACTATTACATAAATTCACTATACAATATGTTGAATGTACATTTTAATCTCATAAATAAATAAAAAAACCTATATTTTTTTTACATAACTCCATGAAATGTTCCAATGAAATGAATTATGACGATAAATATCTATATACGCGCTACTCGTGATTAGCTTCAATCCTAAATACTGTGTGCATATAAATGAAAACCCTAGAAGAAAATATATTCATGTATACGTTACTCCGAATATATTAGCAGCCTTCATAACGAGATATAATTAACATACAATTTACTTTTATTTCGTAATATTTTTATTATTAAAAGTGTTATTTTTATTGTTTAATTTGTAAAATGCGTCTATATGGATTTAAGGCGACACTTTTTTTGTTACATTTGTATTATAGCTGCTCACATACTAGGCGTAAACGAATGAGTACCATAAAAGGTGAATAGCATTTAAAGTTACATTTATATGTATAAAGTTACATTTATATGTAAAGGTGCGTGTGACTCACTCTAAGTATTGCTATTCATCTTCCTTGAAATATTGGAAAGTAAATTATTTGTTATTAGCTATTAAAAGCGTAATTATTAGGAGTTTAAGTAGCACACAGACATGTAAATTTGTTTCTCTTTGGTATCATTTTAACAAATTAGTTTTACATGGTATTTCTATGGTAAAGCCATGGTTTGATGAGACTACAGTTACAGCGTATTACTGAAATAGATTAGTAAATTCTAACTTATGGGTTATATTAGTTAAAGAATGGTATATTAAATAGATTTTTATTCCAAGTTTGTCTCAAAGAGATAGGAGGATGAGTCCAATTCATCTCTTTAAAAATATCAGGCTTTTTAAATGAAAAATATTTAAATTCCAGATTTGAAAATGTATAGTAACATTATGAGTATGATTCGTAAAAAAACTAAAATAATTTACAGAAGTCTAAAAGGCTAAAAATTAAATCTATAGAAGAATTGTTCAAGCCGACTATTTCTATTACAGAATAGTATGCGATAATATTAAATATTGTGTAAAGGGGTGTCCAGCAACCCCGTTATAATACATTTGATTTTAAATTGTACTGCTGCCGACATGCACACACATAAGAAAATGAAAAAAGATTCACATTATGATACGATTTATGGAAAGCGAAAAACTACTGTAACTATAATCTCGGGAATATTTCAGTTTCTCGAAATCATATATATATATGTATATGGTTCTGAAATAACCATTAACAATTTAAATACGATACTTTTTAGAGAAAATAGCACAAAAAAAAAAACAAATAAGAATTTTGTATCGTGAAGCATTTGGGCATAGACAAAGCGGTTTTTTTAAATATATAAGCTATATAGCTAACGCGAATATTAAATACCAATAAAATCATTGTTTGCTGTATAAAAATAATAATTTAAGTAAATATATTACAAAAATTCAAGAGAAACTGAAAGTATGCTATTACGCACAAAAGCAATGAAACGACAAAAAAATTTGTTGTTAACTACTTACTTATAATAATACATACTCTAAACTAAGATCTAAAACTGTGCAACTAAAACACAAATTCCTATTAAAAGCGTTAACATTTGGTGACAGAAAGCTTTGGAATATTAATAAAAAAATATGCAAAAAGTAACTTCCCGAGCTCTCCACAAGAGAGGTACATGTTCTTGGATAATAAGAAATAAATACAAATAATATTTCTGTAATTAAACATATGGATGACGTCATCAGTCATGCATACTTAAACACAACATGTATTTCTGTCACATGCAAGGTGAATATTAATGTACTATATATATTATGAGAAATTAAACTGTTATGTATGTAATAAAATACAGGGAACTTCCTTGAGCTAATGACAGCTGGCTTTCTTGGAACTTTAAAACATTCCATTGGTAATTTTGGATGGAAATTTAATAAAATCAGTGAACGCCAGCTAAAACTCAAATATGTTTGCCATGTCCCGTATTAAAACCACACACAAGTATATTTACGCTAAATTATAATGTATTGTTAGCATTTATCATAAATAGCGTTACATATAGAAATAGACAACAAACCATGCTAGGTGATAGGCACAGGCTCTACGAAGGGCAATATTTAGTTAAAAATGATTGTTTGTATGATTCGGAATTGAAACCTACCTGTGAATTCGTCCTCCCACTCTAAACCCGGGTTTAGATTGTACTCATCTTGAAAAGGGAGGAAAAACAAAAAAAACAATGTCAGTATCTTTCGACCATAAAATATATAAAAAAATTCAAACTATACATAGACATAGCTAGTGCTTATATATAGTACAGCATGACCGTTTCGTGTTAATTCGACACGTGTCGAAACTCACCGCGGGTGGGAAACGACACGTGTCGAATTCGACACGAGTCCGCGTGTTAGGACTTGTGCAGTGTATGTTAGTTGACTCGAAGGGTAAAACAGCGTGAAATGATACGGCGACCCCATAATACCACCATAATCGATATACACATATTATATAATTAAATTTGCGGCCGTTATATAGGTCTCCTGTGGGGAGGCCTAGTGGAGAACTCTGGAAGGCCACAATTCCGTGAAAACACTTAATAGTGCATCAAATGATGTATTTTAGTTGAGCTGTGTCACTCTTACCCCCCTCTAGTTATCACAAGTCACAGATTGCTTGATAAAATGTCAATGAATTAATATGGTGGACACTTTTATCGAGTAATCTGATTACTTATTGATGTTAGTAGGAAATAACTAGAAGCGTGATAGTAAGGAGAACCTAGTCTAAATATATACAAGTCGAGACCGAGATGAGGACTAATATACAACCGACACCGTGTTAACCGACATGATAAAAAAAGGTAAGTGTTAGGGTAACGACAGAAAGCGTCCTGGCGAAATAATGACTTACCGTAGTAATCGGGGTGTGCTAGAAAAGGACAAAAAATAAAAATATTCTGTCAGTTACATATATCTGTTTCAAGGCACATGTATTTTACATAAATAATGAACCGTTGAATATTTTTGTTTTAAAATATATAAAGTATTTACATAATATAAAATGGGTTTTAAACAAAAATGCAATGATGGTATACACAATGGGTTGGATATTATTAGTCAATTCAGTTTGTATTGAGCACATGCATTTTGAAAGGCCATGGCCTGGATGAGAGCGGCAAACGAGGCCTTACTCAGGTCGGCTCAAAATACCAAACTAAATTCAACAGTCCATCTCATAATTTCTGCCGCGATGTTCTAGTCCAGGCCCTTTATACTTTCAAACTATCGTCGTGTCAATGTGTTCTCATACATGGTGTTAGCCAATGAGTGTGTCGCTGGTGACGTTACTTTGAAAGCAAACAAACGTTCAACACGTCATGCTCGGAGACGTTCCCGAATTTCTTTTGTAGAAATAATACCCACGTATGGGCGCAGCCAGTGTTATGAAAAACAATAATAAATTAGGTTTGTTTTTATTAATTTAATTCACCTGGCTACGCTCTTGACGAACTGTTTGTAAAGTGTATTAGTTACAAATTTTAATGGAATCAACCTTTATTCTAACACAAACAAGACAGTTTCTATGCAAATAAAATATTTAAATAAATGTTAGATATACTCTACAGGATGTTACAGATGTGTGGTCCTTTGTTAAGGTCATACAGCAGAGCGCTAACAATTAAAAAAATATATATTTTATTCACCATTTAAAGTGTCAAATAAATATTTTTTTTTTTTTAATATTCTACCACATACACACAACGCCATCTAGTCCCAAACTAAGCAGAGCTTGTACTATGGGTACTAGACAACTGATATAAATACATATATGCTTTTTTTTGTTAATACATACATACTATACATAGAAACACCCAGACCAAATCAAACATCAAATGTTTGACTTGAGCGGGAATCGAACCCGCAACCTTTGGGATAGCAGTCCGTTACACAAACCACTACGCCATGCAGTCGTCTGATTGAGTTTGAAAATTGACTAACTAAGCTTATTATTAAAATAATAAAGTAATGTTTACAAATATTTACAACATTTTCATATAAGAAGCAACTAATGAATTTAAGTTGATCTGAAAATTCATAACAAGTGGTTAAGAAATCAGCATCCTAACACGAAAAAGGATTTGACGAAAAAAGTATGGAATACTTTTTCTTCAGTTAAAATAACTATTTTTTCGATGCTGGTAACACTTTGATTTGACCACAACTGTCTGTAGCATCCCTGTATTTTATAAGTGTGATTCCACATAATATAAACATATTACGCATGCATTTAATTATTTATGCCTCTTAAGGAGGTTTATAAAAATTCATAGTCATCCACGAATATTACACTTATTAAAATATACAGCTCAAAAATGCCCATACAATTTCTTTATAATTATTTATAATAAATATAAGTATATATTAATAGTAATTAATTGAATAAAAATTAAGTTGCATAAAAAGTGCTATTTTTTTTTCAGAATCTGTGTAGTACCATACTACCAGCCTGTACTGCCAGCAATGGTTGTACAATTATCTCTACACAAATGTTTAGTGAGAAATATAATGTTTTGTTTAAAGCCTTTCTATAGCCAAGAACCCGTGCCCACCGCTGATATACAATGAAGCTCAGCGTCCAATGACGATTCTACTTTTAAATATTTCACTGTTTTATCTCGTCAATGGCTGCCAGACGCAATGAACAATGAAAATGATTTTAATACACTAGTCTAAATCTACACATACCACTAGCTGTGCATATTCGTGGAGAACCAAAACAAAACTATGTTTAAATGTTAATAAGGTATAAATTACCTTTGCGCGGCCGCCACCAGTCCTCCATGTATCCTGCAAGCGGTGATGCATTGGAAGAGCAGCCTTTTTTTATGGTAGCACAAACACAAACATTGCACCACAATTCTCATGACAGTATTTACTTTTTTGTTTAAATATATATATTGAAGGGAAATGATGGACAACACATGTTAAGCTGATAAACAAAACAAAAATAACTATGCTGATTGAATTTATTATATGAATAGATTATTTAATAAAACATTTAAAAAAAAAATTTTTTTAATAGTCTTGCAATTAGCAAAAACTTTTTGTCAATTTTTGCTACTGTGGTTTTTAAAATGATTCTTCTTTATTATATTATATTCTTTATTTTATAAAGATTTTTCGATATAGGAAATTTTATGGATTGTGTCTTTTCGATTCTGAAGAAATATTTTTTTTGTTCTTTCCTCAGCAGGAAAATAGTAAAAAAAACTTTTGAAACACAATTTGACTGATTTTGCAAAGCCTTATGCAAAACGCAAAAGCATTCATGGGCAATCAATGCTTTTATTGCATAATAATAAAGCATTTTTATCTTATTATTTAATGCACCGCTTTATTATTTCTTACTCAATTACTAAGAATTACAACCATTTCTGGTTGTAATTGATATTAATTTAATAGTTCACGTGAATGTAGGCAATGAAGGACAAAAATAAATTCAAACAGCATGTAGAGGCTAAATTAAAATGGATGAGTGAAAAGTAAATACTGTTTTATACCTACAGATGTCATTGGTTACAAAGAGTTCTTGTCATTTGCAAATATTATGCTTATACAGAGTGTTAAATTTCTAATCAACCTTAGCAAAATATTGTGTAAATACGTCTAAATAATTCAATATTGCACTATCTGAGGCGTACTTTTTCTGATTTACGCGTACCCACATAATATAGTAACATATATATAATAATTTATATATTATGTTTCCTATTTTATGTGGGTACGCGTAATCATTCGCGTAATTATTATTGAGTAAATTATTACTACAACTATTTAGTTGTAGTAATAATGAACTCTAAAGAATTTTTTTTTTCCTAAAATAAAGTGGCAATATATCCACCGATACTAAAAGAAAGGGTTAAAAGAAGACTTCAATATTTGCAAATGACATGGCACTGTTAAACCGACACCCAGACATCACAGTTAAAGAAATTATTAAAAAATGGGAATGCAAACTCTCAAATTATGTTATTCCAAACAAATTGTGAAATTTATATCAATACAAAGAAAAATCCAAAAACCCATATTAATTATACATTATGTACGCAGGTATATTTTAATTTTCAAATATTTATAATCATTGAGACAAAAAATATAATCAGACTGTATATGATCTTTATTTTATTTTTATTAGTTTGCAAAAATTAATAAAATTTAAATAAAAAAGAAAAATTTCACACAGTATGCCTGCTCACTAAATGAAGATCTTACCATCTCGCAGTTCGGATACACCAGTTGCAGTGGTCTGTGTTTGCTTCGCATACGTCACGTTCTCCTTAGGTGGAATGTCGGTTGATTGGACAGACACTACTTGAAGAGATGGTGCTTTCTTTGGACCACTACATGAAAGTAAAAATGGGGTAGAATATGTCAGTATGAATCTCTTTAATCCCCTAATGAGGTGGGAGATTATTTAACCTTAAGATTATTTGACGTCCATCACGAAAAACTGTGCTCTTTACGCAAAGCAACAAATTCCTTTTTTCATCTATACAAATAAATATAATTGCAATAATGTAAAATTGCTTCGTATTTAAATAGAGTTACTTACTCTATAGGTAGTTTACTTCCTATATTTAACTTTTTTTACTGGATACTAAATCTAGGAACATTAAGAAGCAAAAGTTTTGTGCAACTAAAGTCTTAAGTCTTCGTTCTTGCCTAACACACCAAACCATTTGTAACTGTTCATTAATGCCTGACTCACCCTTGTGAAGGCAGACTGGACTTATCAGTGTGAGGCAGACTGGCGTCCGGTGATGCTGTCTGCGGTGGTGTGAGTGACGTCATCGAAGAGAGGGACGACAGTACATCCTTAACGGGTGCCATTCCTAGGGACGACAGCATCTCGTCCAAGTCACGACGGCTGTCCAGGCTGGATGCCACTGAGGCACGTTGCTAAAATGAGTTTGGTGTGATTATGTAGAAATAATTGTAGTGTAATCGATTTTAGCGTTTAAGGTGTTGCTAGATTCGTAAGAGACATCTTAATTGGGTGACACTGGGTATATGAAAATTATAAAAATTAAAATCACCGGTTTGTAAATTTTGGAGTACCTACACTTTTCACACAGTCGGGATTTTAGTATTATTAAGAAAGACAATAAATTAAAATATATTAAATTAATAATACAATACCAGGGCTTCTTCTGCATCCTTCTGTTCTTTTTCTCTTCTACGTCGATCCTTCTCCTCACGGAGAGCCTGGAGCTTCGCCTTCTTTCGCTCCAGCTCTGCTTTACGATCTGACATGCTTGACATGATTACTGTCAATAGATGTAAAAAAAAACTCATTGTTAAATATTACTATCTAAAGTTAATGATTCATTTTTAAACACCCTATAGATTTAAATGCACAATTTAACTCCACTTCACTTGTAACGTATTGTTAGTGACATGTTTTCATAAAATACTTAATAATTTTAAATAGGTTTTTTTCTCCTAAAACTTACAAATTTTATAATAATAATAGTATATTGTCAATTTCTCTAACGTTAGAAAGAAAGTTTAGTTTTTTACATTAGATTATAAGTGATGTCGAGCTTTTTGTATTATCTGACTCATATATGCTAAGTCCGAGGTTGTGGGTTCGATTCCCATCCAAGACAATATTGTGTAATGAGCATGGTCATTTGTTCTGTGTCTGGGTGTAATTTATTTATGATATGTATGTATTTAAAATATTTGAGTATGTTTATCAGCAGTCTGGTCTGCCTAGTCTTACTCAACAGTAATAATAGTAATACTTCTTATGCAACAGTAATTACTGTAGCAGAACCGTGTGTCCTTCGCACCCGTCTTTCATATTCGCTCTTAGTCTGGTCGTAGGAACCTGCATACATATATTGTAAACATAATTTTAGCACTATTTTTGTGTCCTTTCAATAAATACTTTTTTTTTTATTTGTTATATATACTCCTGTCATTTTTTTTATGTAGTATTACTTTATTATTACTTCTAGCTGACCTGGCAAATGTTGTTTTGCCATATACATTTTTTTTAAATATTTTATATTATAAGGAAATATTGAAAAATAAATGTAGGGGTGGGTTACCCTTGACATTTAGGGGTATGAAAAATAGATGTTGGCCGATTCTCAGATCTACCCGATGTGCATACAAAATTTTATAAAAATCAGTCCAGCCGTAACTAATATTGTGACACGAGAATTTTATATATAAGATTTACTGGGATTTTATATTCATTGTGTTGAGAGTTATCTGTGTGCGTTTAGTTTCTAATTTTTGGGCAAATGTCAGGCGACAGCTGAAAACCAGTGTTGTGCTTTCGCGCAGTGTATACTGAGCTGGTGGCCCTTGCTACACATTGTGCCAAATGTATTATAAAATTAATTTCGTGTTTTAGTAATGTGCCTTGTATCCGTGTATGTTTTATGTATCTTGTGCAGCAAATATAAATGGTTTTTAAATGGTTTAAATACTCCATACTAGGCAGAGCCTATGCTATGGTAACCAGACTGCTATGTAATCAGATGGCCATGAGTGAGATATATTAGTATTATATTCTAATGTCAGGGTGTTTTCTATTATGGTAACTGTTGTGTATCAAACTCAACTCAAACTCAAACTTTCTTTATTTCATAAAATTTCCAAAATTGTTTGAAATCGTCTTCCATGTAGACTCTAAAGTCATAGATCAACACACACAAAAGCAACAATCTCTGTTTTGTCAAATAGTAACCAAATAAATTTAACAAAATTCAAACCCATACAAAATCTATGATATGCCTGTGCCGATCTACAACCGCCCGTTTCCAAGGGGTTGAGCCTTATGAGAAGAAAGGGCAAACAAACTCATGGCCACTCTTTTGCAATTCACAAGTAGATACAATGGCACTATTAAATATATCACAACATTGTTTTGATGTGTGCTAGTATGTCCGTTATTAAGGACTTAAAGGTGAAAAAACAACAAAGAGAAAACAAGATTAAGAAGAACAAACAAATACAAGAGAAAATGAAGTGAAACATAAAAAATAGAAAAAATAATAATAATAAAAAACATACTAGCCACACCACATTTTTACTTAAGAAAGAAATAGCCTGCGCTAATTAATCCCAAGCATTCTTGTCCTCCATGTAATCCACAATCGAGTAGTAGGCCCTCTGGCACAAGCCACGTTTTATTGCGGATTTAAATTTGTTAATACTCAACTCCTGAATATTATTTGGGATTTTATTATAAAATCGGACACATTGACCTCGAAAAGACTTGTTTATCTTTTGGAGCCTAGAGGCGGGTACAACAAATTTATTTTTATTTCTGGTATTTATGGCATGTACATCACTTTTTTTCAAAAAGCTATCTTTATTTTTGTGAATTACATTTTCATAAATATATTGACTTGCCACTGTCATTATATTTATTTCTTTAAATTTCTGCCTCAATGAACAACGATTGCCTAAATTATAAAGTGCTCGAATAGCTCTCTTTTGCAGCACAAAAATAGTTTGAATGTCGGCAGCATTCCCCCACAGCAGAATACCGTACGACATTATGCTATGAAAGTAACTGAAGTAAACAAGTCGTGCTGTATCAACATCAGTCAACTCTCGGATTTTCCTTACTGCGTATGCTGCTGAGCTGAGTCTACTCGACAATTTATCAATATGTGGGCCCCACTGTAGCTTAGCATCTAGTGTTATACCTAAAAATGTCGTAGTGTCCACAAGGTCCAGCCCGACATCCTTAATTATCACAGTAATTTTCACTGGCTTGACGTTTGGCATAGTGAAACGTATACACTTAGTTTTTTGTTCATTTAATAGTAAATTGTTGACATCAAACCAATGAACCACTTTCGAAATGGCGCTGTTTACAAATGTGAAATCAGAAAGGGTCCGTTTTAGTCTAAATAATAGTGATGTATCATCTGCAAACAACACAATCTCGAGATTGTCCTTGACAAAGTGAGGTAAGTCGTTAATATATACTAAAAACAAAAAAGGGCCGAGAATAGAACCCTGTGGAACGCCCATTTCTACCACAGAGCCTGGAGACCGCTCACCATTAATATCAACTTTTTGAATCCTATTACATAGATATGAGGCAAGTAGTTCCAGGGCTTTATTTTTGATACCATAGTGCTGTAACTTCCTGATCAGCGTTTCATGAACAACACAATCAAAAGCCTTAGATAAATCGCAAAAGATACCTAGAGAATCGTGGGCATCCTCCCAGGCATCAAATATATGTTTTACTAGCTCAACACTAGCATCAGTTGTGGAGCGACCCCTTGTAAAACCAAATTGTCTATTGTGCAATAAATTATTATTATTAAAAAAACTGTGCAATTGATCATACATAATTTTTTCAAAAATTTTACTAAATACTGGTAGTACTGAGATAGGTCTAAAGTTAGTTGGGTCAGATGTACTACCAGATTTGAATAAGGGAATAATTTTACTAGACTTCATAAGATCAGGAAATACACCACTATCAACACATTGATTAAATGTAAATGACAATTGATTAGCCACAAGAGATATAATTGTCTTAGTAATTAAAACAGAATTTCCCCATAGGTCGGTTGTTTTTTTTAACATTAATAGTGTTAAAGGCTTTAATAATTTCAAAGGGGGACACATATTGGAACTTAAATTCACTATCAATTCTTCTAACATTCTCTTTTAAAATTGATTCTGCAAGGTATGGTGAGGAGTTCAAAGATTTAGTAGTTGATACAGGAATGTTAGTAAAAAAATTCTCAAATGCAGCAGCAACCTCAGCATTTGATGTGATAAATTTATTGTTTATGTTTAAATTAAATTCATTATCACGGTTTTGATCTTTGCAAGTTTCACTATTAATAATTTTCCAAGTGGTTTTAATCTTATCATTACTACTTTTAATCTTTGAACTAATAAAACGAGACTTAGCCAGTTTACAAAGTTTCCTAAACAGCTTCGAATATTCTTTAACATAATTATGAAACTGTTCACTTTTATTATAATTCTTCTCATCGTATAGCTCGTATAATCTTTTCCTACTTTTGAGTAAGCCAGGGGTAGCCCATTCACTAAATGTGGCGTTACCTTTAACCACTAGCGTTTTTGGTGTAAAAATGGTGTTAAATGTTGAAGAGAAAGTTTCAAAAAAACTATTATAATAAGTATTAGGGTTATTCTCTACACAGAGTACTGAATTATTAAAAGCAGCTTTAAGTTTATCCTTAAAGTTTTCACAACGCTTTGCGGTTTTAGGTATCACCACAATCCTTTTTTCTGACACTTTTTCATACCTATCACAGAAAGATACTAATTGACCACAGTGGTCAGAATGTAATTGATTGATTATTTTCTTGTCCTTAATAACAATATCTGTAAATATATTGTCCAAACATGTGGCAGTGGTGGCAGTGATTCGTGTAGGCTCCAAGAACAAGTTCTTCAGATTGTATGATTGAAAAAGTGCCTTGAACTTGGTTACTATATCTTGCATGTATGGGTATGCTATGGGTATGCCTACCAGATATTTTCTATTATGGGATTTATTTTAAAGAATATTGTGTATGTATGCTGTTGGCATCTTCTGGTGCATGAATCTTCAGGTATTCAGGTATTTACATCATAAATAATCCAAAAACATGGCATGTTATGATTGTGTTAGGACACAAATTCATAATACAAACAACCGTAACAAGCTTATAAGAAACTTGCAACGCCAATGACAGAATACTTAGCGAAAGTCAGTCTTATTAGGATATCGTCTGATGTCATACGATGGATCGAGATGATTCACTATGGACACATCTAGGAGTTATTAGTATGCTTACCTGTTATTTACTAGGCTTCTTATACAGGAGACAGCATTTTAACACAAGATTATAGTAAAATATGCCGACTAAACGTGGCAAACAGAAAAATGTGTGTAACGGGATTTTGAAGCACACGAATACTAGTAACTATCCAGTTATTGCCCTTAATTGAATAACGTTAAAATATTTCAATCGTAAGTTTGCTCTATGTTCTTTTGGCTTACACAATATATTGAATTTGTTAGTAAAATACGAAGAAATAAATCGATCAACACAATTTTCAGCTTTCGGCAGAAAATTTACAGTGTTGCAAGGCTTGGCATAATAATTTCCAGTTATTCAACTTGTCCGTTTATTATAGAAGTATTAAGATATTTAAATATAAATTCTTATTTGTCAAATATGTATATTTTATAGTAGGCTAACTAACTATAACATTATTTCAAAGTTGTAAGGCAAAAGATTCCACATTGCAGATTATTTATTTCTTTCTTATAGTTTTTTGGTCGTAGTTCATGAAAGCCACATCCGTTCAAATACAAAATAAAAAAATTATTTTGTCCCAAAATCCTTGCATTTTAATTTAAATATTTAAGAGGATTATTAATTCCTATCTTTAGATTACAATTGTTTTTATTTCAAATAAAAACAAGATTAAGGATTTTATTTAAACTTTGAGCAAAAGGCGCCAAAAAGAACTTTGTTTTTGAACTGTCCTCCATTCGGGTCGTTCTATTCACTGATCTATATGTCAACTTGTACATCAATGTCGTGATTGGTGTTTAGTGGGTGGGAATGTTGAGTAGTCCAATAAGAATTAAGTTTCTTAAAAAATTTGACATTTGTATTTTGAATGACTGTTCAATGAAACATACTTGGGTGTTGTCCGGCTTGATTGGGCTTGATGATTGTAACAACGCTAACGTAATGATCAAACAGTTTTACTTGATTTTCTGACTGATACATTACGTTCGTATTAGATATCATAAAACAGCTATGAAATTATGATGAGTGGTATTGTGTATTATTTCTGTGTTTTGCTTTGTTATAGCATTACAAATTCCGATGCAGGTTAGTTTAACGATTAATTTCACTTACATTTTTGTAAAACTATCGTGTTTTTAAATTAAATAGAATGCTATATTTTATTATTCGGTAAAGCTTAACTATATTTTGAAATTGAAACATAATTCTTATTGTATCTTTCCGTAAGATATATTTGTGTTTAGACAATAGCGTACCATGTCCTCGGCATTGTTTACGTTGTTTTAAATCCTCTCAACCATAAAAAGAATATTGCCAAGAGTTATATTTGTGCTGTAACTAACTAATTGTAACTATCGCTTGTATTCTCACCGAACAATGTTGTTTTCAGATTCTGTAAGATATTATTATGACTATGAATGTAATGAACCTCTAGTATTAAATTCAAAGTTGACTGCTACATCCAGCTTAAGGGAGAGAGGACCAGAGAATGCTAAATTATATGGTAAGTAAGAATACTAATTGTTGTATTTGCACATATTTTAAGCAAAATTTTAGCAGTAGTATTGCAAGAAGTTTTTGTTTTAAATTTCTTAGTGTAAGGCTTTAACATTATTTGAAATGGAATTTTAATTTTAGGTTTTATACAAATTACATACATATTAATTTGGTGTGTAAACCAAAGGTTTGTCAAGTTTTAAAATACCTACTCCTTTAGGCCATCATGCAAGAGTTGCCATAGACTAAAAAAAAATATTGGTTTTGATTTAGCATGTTGGGTGTAACTGTGTTCTATGTAGTTGTGATGATTATATTAGTGGTTGGCTCACATCTATTTAGATCTATGTATATAAAGTCAATCATTAAAGATAGACTTAGCATATATTTATATAAAGGTCAAGCAACCAACAAGATATATTCTGTATATATGTATATATATATACACACAGGATATACATTCCTAATGCGGGAGTTAATTTAGTAATCATTGCTGCTACTGAGCCCAAAAAATGATTTTACCTGCAATACATCTTTAAAATATGTCATGAGTTATATTATATTTTTTATATAGTACTTCAATAAGTCTTTTTTTGCCAACATTTTTTTACACTAAATTTCTTATTAGAAAAAGTATCAACTATAGAAAGGAGCCTCAATAAAGGTCTAAGTAAAAATATAGAAACAGTTAAAAATAATTAATTTACTGAATTAAACCAATATAAAAATGGAACCATATTTAGCATATAGATACAAAAATAATGTTACCTATCAGAAACAGTCTTATAAAGTCTTTATCATTAAACAAATGAGATGTATGATTTGAGTTATAGAGTCCATTTCATTTTCTTTTGTGGTCGGTGCATAAGTTAAAATGTTCTGATTCATAATGAATGACGATGGTACTACAAAAACCTGTAATGCAAGACATAAAAATAAAACTATGTATTTTAAAATAAGAAGCTTTATTAACAGCAAAGAAAAAGTAATGGAGAACATTTATTAACACATTAGGATTGAGGAGATGATAAGTGTTAATTCATTTATATTTACTATACTAGTAAGAGCAACAATCCCTAAAATTCAAAATTTCAAAACCTAAAGCTTTAAGCCTCTTTTCTAAGGAGAGGCCTATGTCCAGCAGTGGACTATTAAAGGCTTGATGTGAAAGCTTTACACCAACCAAAATTTGTGAATATTTTCTTATGGTACTTTAGAGATCTGAAAAACTAAGAATCAGAACATTTTATACATAAAAGACTGTAGAATGCTAGAAAATGTGGTTCAATAACGTATAATAAATGCTATACATTTTTACACTTTTTTTTGCATGCTAGTGTTTTTGTAAGTCATTGAGTTGCAAGAAAGTTTATTTAGCTTCTTAACCTGTGAATCGCAAAAAATATAAAAAGAGAAGATCGAAAGTAACAGGGTTCATTCGTCTGCAGGTCCGAAATCAAAATAAAACAATTTATAAGTGGACCTCAGCTGCTAAAATTACATTCAGTAGTAACAAAATGTCAAGTACCATTGTGAGATGGGCTTTCAATGCCACAGAATGGAAACCTACCATAGAGGAGATCACAGATGCGTCATGCTATATTCAATCTGAAGAGAAACAGAGGATAGCAAGATTTGTTTTCCAGAATGATGCAAAATCCTCCCTAGTTGGACGGCTAATGTTAAGAAAATTTGTCCATGAGACAAATTCTATACCTTACAATGAAATACGATTTATCAGGGACGAAAGGGGTAAGCCATGCTTGGTTAATGATGGAGACACACCAGTGACCTTCAATGTGTCACACCAAGGAGATTTTGTCGTACTGGCTGGTCACAAAAACCGTAGTATCGGCATTGACATCATGAAGATAGAACCACCGGCGAACAAGAACATTCCAGAATTCTTTCGAATTATGACGAGGCAATTTTCCCCCCACGAATGGGCCACAATACGTAGCTTTCCCACGGAATTGGAACAGATTGCGTGCTTCTACCGCATTTGGTGTCTCAAAGAGAGTTATGTGAAAAATACAGGGTTCGGTATAACTGTACCACTGAATGAAATAAGTTTTTCGATTAACACACGCAAGTTGGAAGTGGGGAAGTTGGTTACTGATACGGTTTTATATGAAAATAACGCTCATAAGAAAGAATATTTTTTCGAAGAAACTTTATTGGATGATAAGCATGCGGTTGCTGTGTCACTGCAAGTAGGAGAGAAAGTACAGTACGTGCCATCACCATATACTTTTCTAACTTTTGAGGAGATCGTGAAGAATGCTGAGCCACTGTGCGAACCAGATTTCAATTTCTCGGCAGATTTTATGGAAAAGCAAATGAAAAGTTTTTAGTTATAAATGGGTTAAGGAGATTTTTGTAGGAGGTTTTAATGGGTTAGCGTTTATTGGGTTAAACCACCTAAAGTTTCGTCAATTTAAACGTTTTTCGCCGGTATTCGTTTTTTAACGATAAATACCAATAACTCTGTATATATACGGAAATTATCTCGATCGCGTTATAGGTATGCATATATGCATCTGTATTGCCTGACGATTAGACTAGGTGACACTGACCGCGGTCATAGGCTGACTCTACCCTATTACGTGTATCTATGATATCAAACCAGCTTCACAGATCTTTTCTGCAGGGCAGCCAGTATGACTAAAAGGCCGGCAATGCGTTTGTGACTCCTGATTTGCAGGCTTTCAATGGCGGCGGTGGTCACTTTCCATCAGCTCGTCTGCCCCTCTTCCATAAAAAATATTGCTTTTCCCTTACGTGTGGGTTAAATCAGATGTTTGAATAAATTCCCAATTCTTTCTATTAACAAAGCCACATTTTATTCATTTATAAATTTTGAAAATTTTGGCCTACGATATCCCGTATATATACATAATTTAAAGTTACTTATTAATTTGTACTATGGAGACTTGGTTTATATAAATACGTGATTAATTTAACATAAGGGTTAACATAACATAAGGGTAGGAATGAATATTAATGTAAAGTACCATATAATATTATATTAAATAAATGTGTATCTGTCTAAATTTCATGTTATTCTACGTAAATCCTCTTTTTAAAATAACTAACAATCTCTGTTATTAACTGCAAAAAAAGAACCCCAAAAGTAAACAACGAAAAATTTTCCCGCTCAAAAAAGGTTTGAACGCTTGGACGGCATCGGAGAATGATTTCGACCAGCAGCTGGTCATTGATCTCGGCAGTGTAAAGAACATTACAAGGGTTGCAACACAAGGGCGGGCTCATTCCCAGGAGTTCGTTCAAGAGTATCACATCAGCTATGGTTCGAATGGTCAAGACTTTGTGCAGTACAAGGCTGCTGGAGGCGAAGTTAAGGTAAAACTCAACAAAAAATACGATTAACAGGTTGAGAGGTTTGGTTTGCACGTGTTTTCAGCCATATTAATTTTGTTTTTTTTTTTGTTTGGGCGTTGCTTTGGTTTGGTAGTTCGACTTATGTACTAATATATTTTTAACTGTCTTCATTATTAACGGGGGTAAATACACATAATAATACAGTTACCTAATATTATTATATGTCTTAAATCTTATGAGGTCATATTTGATGTTTTAGAAATATTTCGCGTTGTAAGCAGATATAATATAATAACATTAGATATTTATTCCTCGTTTCAGTAAGTTCATGTCTCGTTCCATAAGTTTATTTTTTTTAACGATTGGCACACATTGTTTAATGACTCTGTATCCTGTCTAAAATTTGCAGCTTCACAAAAAAAAATGTCATCGCCCAGAAGACCAATTCTTGTAATAAAAGTTCACAATTCAGAACTCTCGATCTCACAACTTTCACAAAAGGTGTTTATGTAGTAAAGTATTAAACATCCAACGTTGCATGTTATGTCATTATATCGTATTGTTACCGAAAATTTACTACGAGAATATCTTCTATGATAGTTCCAAGATCAAGAGTTGATCGGAGCTGAATTTTGACCTAAATTTTACTCGTACTACGCGAATTTGCTTTTTGGTGTCGGTATAAATTACATATTAAAATTGAGTAAATGTTTTTTTCATATCAAAATATAAACATAGTAACAGAAATAACAATAAGAATAACATAGTAATATCCGCAACCAGAATTAGGCTCTAAAGATCGTCGTTCGAATAATGGCGTACATCAGAAATAATAAAAAAAGGACATGAACATTTTTCAACTTAACTTAATATCAAATATGTCTTCTTTATGGCCTTGTACTCCTTTAATTAACTGTTCTTATATCATAGAATATTGTTATTGGAGACAGGCTATGCTTCGGAATAACTGAACAGCTCAGCAAGAAACTTGCCAATGAAATTATGATTGGTGCGACCCAAGATTTTTAATATAGCAAGAAGATTTATTAAAGATTTGCTGCTATTTGTGTACTTTTTGTTACCATATCGTGGTTGCTATATTTTAATTTATTATATATACACGCGTTACTTGCTGTGCTGAAGAGGTCATGAGCTTCTCTCAAAAGCAGAATAGTAATTCTGCTATAACACACCGGGTTATGTAAGGTTTCTTGCCCCCTTTTACCCCTCTAATCCTAATAACCTAATTACCAGAACTCTTAATCATTGATCTGAATTACACGGGCTCTGAAGAAAAGTGGTAATTGGAAATTTCGCTGGTACACAAGCTGAATGCTATGTCTCCTATCTAACTTGTCTTAATATCTGAAACTATTTCTCTAGTTATTGGTATAAAATTATATTTCATTCTGGTCTGAATGTGAAGGAACAGAATTTACACATCAGTTATTCAGTAAAACGCAGTTCAAAGCCATCCTGTCTCTGAAATTGCTGACCTAAATTGACTGGATTGTTTCATTGGAAATTTTATCTGTTACCATCATTACATTATAACAGTAGTCTATTGTAAGATTCTACAGTATGGTAGTTGCAGGATGGCTTTATAACTATGACAATGAAATGCGCTTCACAATCAGACCAGTGTACTGACACCACATCTATACCTATCTGTAGTCCAACCAGTTAATGTTTGATAGTCTGAGTAATAAAACGGTTACATGTTCACGGTTGTGCGTCGAAAGGAAATAAATCGAATTTTGATCTATGTTTTTGTACAAATACAATCGATTTGTGGTCCAAACTGCCTTACTGTAGTCCTGAATGGTCCATTTTTTGCTAACTTTAGTCTAATTTTGTCAAACCCTTGCTTCATATCGGTTGACTACATGCGTACTTATGCACGTAGCTGTGTTGGGTGAGTAGGGATTGTGACACAATATTAGGTATATAATATAATAAATTTAAATATTTTTGTTGCAAAGCAACAATAAACAAATGCTTCGAAGAAACAGTCTCTCATTCCTTTCCCGTTCTTGAAACATCGATGTTCACAAAGTGTAACGTGATGCAGTTTGGAATCCATCCAAACATTTTCTTTACGTTTATAGGCTCCCTCGTTATAGTCAATAAGATAAAAAGAGGTCAAGTACTGTTATTCATAGCATTATTTAGTTATAGCCTATATAATCATGTTAGTGGTCGCCTAAAGGTCGAAATTCGACTGTAATTTTGATAACAATAAAGCAAAACCTTAGAAAAATTAATGTATACAGCCGCTCGTAAAATAGAAAAGCAAAGAAAATATATTCGATTAATGAAAGAACGCGAATAAACATACGACTGAATAAATTTCGAGAAAATACTGATAAGGAAAATGTGTCTGAATAAACAGAATATTCAAGTGTACAAACTTTGACACTTCCTTTAGTATTTTCTTCTTCTTTATATTAATCTATAACTTTAGTCAGGGCCTCATTCAAGCTTATGTAATGAAAGTAATTGGTTCCCAGAAACGAATATAAATATAAGAGAGCTCTGACTACGTCCACTACGTAGTAACGAAAATTTAAGGTTATGCGGAGGTTCAGGCAGCTTCTCAATGCTATAAGGGCATTAAAAGTTTATTCCTAACTATAATAGCTATTGGCTCGAGTCATTATTTATTATTTTCTGTTTCAAAGTTAGATTGACGAACTTCTATACAACCGTTTATCCTCTATTTAACCACCTTAAGGGTGAAATTTCCAAAAATTCTTTCTTAGTGGGTGTTTAAAACATAAAAAGCATTATCTGCCAAAATTTCATGTTTATAGCCTCAGCTGTTTAGACTCTGCGTTGATGAATCGATCAGTATGTGATAGGGATAGTATAATATTACAATCACCTGTGATAATCACACCTGTGACTAGTATACAAAATCACGGCGACTTAATATTACCATTACCTAGGGTATAAAATGACGCTAGCGCCTGACTCGCTAAACTCTAACTAAAAAAAAGTCGTAATCTTTGATAAAAAGAATTGTGATTGATTTTGATGGCGTTTATCTTTGTCTATGACAAAATCACAATCGCAGGTAAAATTACTGTGACTAAAACCAATAATTTCATCATACGATTATGATTTAAAAGTAGCTATAATTTCCATGTTTAGTCTGTCAGGGCAAGTAATTTTATATGTATAGATAGTAGCTTTGGTCGAAGAAAGTAGCTTAAAAAAACAGGATAGCATGAATATAAAGCATTTCGAGAAGAGAAGTTTGACTACAGGGAAGAACTAAGATACTTTAAAATCAAAAACACCAAAGCTTTGAGTCGTCTAAATAAAACATTAACATTTATAACTGCCCTATTTTGTAGTTAGTAATCAGTAAACTACAATGACTCGACCAAGTAACGTTTAAGTATAAAAAAAAAACCGTTTTGTCAGCCTCAGTCTATCAACGTTAGCTGGTAGGTATATACGTAGCACATGTACTAACATACACATAACGGTGAAGGAACGTCAGCATGGACAGCACAGGAGAGTTCCTACTACCAACATTTGACGGTGAACCTCATGAAGCGGAAAGAGCTTCGGAGTATTGCCACGAGGGGGAGGTATGCTACAGATGAGTATGTCACGGAATATATGCTGCAGTACTCCGATGATGGGGAGAGTTGGAAACTGGTTGCAAGCGCTGATGGGTATACGCAGGTGGGTTTTGGATTATATGGGAATATTGATGTTATGTAGTTTTATAATAATACTTATTGGAAAAGCTTGTGGTAAAAAGTAAATAGGTTGACAATCAACAAACATTTTAAAAGGTAATTGGTTTTAATTTTTCTTTCTTGTTGTATTACTAAAACGGCAAACAAATTTGTCTGTTTGATTGTTAGCTAAATCTGGGCATGTGTAACACTATGAATAATAGAGAAAAAAGAGATTTTTTTCATTCATGAATAAAACGATACTCCTTTTTTAACCGACTTCAAAAAAAGGAGGAGGTTCTCAATTCGACTGTATTTTTTTAAGAAGTAGAATACTGTAGGTAATTTAAGGTTTTTTTTAAATCTTCTTAGTCTTTAGTAACTTAAGCAACTTGCACACATACTTACAAAAATGTGAGCTTTTTTATCTTTAGAAGGGTAGATACAATAAGAAACCTTGGTATAAAATTTCATTATCCTACAAGAAACTACACATAAACACTTCTCCACTTGTTTAGGTTTTGATACTGTCAAATGATTCTAAGAAATTCACTTTGAGATGTTAAAATTGAATAATTGATTACGAAAGTGATAACTAATAGTCTTAAAGCTAAATGGGTAAGGGACATAATAGGTCCAAGACAATATGATACAAAGAAAGAAAGGGAGACACTGTCGTAGGTGGATAGACGACATTAAAAGAGTTAGAAGTATGTAGAAAGATACATAACACACACATCATTGCTCTCTGAGACAAGCCTTAGGGGAGGCCTATGTTCGCAGAACGACCTCCGTCCTCCATAAGCGCAGGCCTGGGGGTGACAGGTGAGGCCATGGGTGGCGGCGAGCGCGTTGCGAAGCGCGCTAACTTCCAGGGAGCACAGGGAACAAGGGGTTCCCACACGGGGGGGGGGGGTCTACTTGTCTGTAGATGTCCCGAGGTATGTCGGGGTACCAGGGACTTCCTTTCTAGGGTATACCTGGTTCCCCGGCTATTAGTACCCGAGACGGCGTGCGGTTTTAGTCGGTTCGAGTCCGACATGCCACCGACAGGTGGTATCCGAGGGGATTTCCGCACGGAAAAAAAAAAAAAAAAAAAGAGGAGGCCTATGCTAAAGTGGGACAATTTTCGCGAAACTGGTGTCAAAAATGAATATTTAAGTAAAGCATTGTATCATTTGGTTCGATTAAATAAAGGCCATAATTTTTATAGCTAATACTCTGGGCATGCTTTTTATTTATGCAGACAAACCTAAGGTGTTTATTCTCCTTGTCATATCTTGTACACGTCATTTAAACTCACACACAAATTACAAATCCACAGATGTTCGAAGGCAATCACGACGGGAACACGGTACAGAAGAACGAATTCGAAGTGCCTATTATAGCACAATATATACGAATAAATCCGATGAGATGGCGCGACAAGATATCTATGAGAGTAGAAGTCTATGGGTGCGATTATGGTATGTATATTGTACTAGCTGACCCTGCAAACGTTGTTTTGCTATTTACATTATTTTTAATTTCTTAAAATCCGTTCTTAGCTGACCTCTACTCGGTGAAAAGAATATTCCTACAAAATTTCAAGTCTTTAGCTCTAATGGTTCCAGAGATATCGTGATGAGTGACTATATACGTGGAAATCTCTTATATATATATATATATATACAGAGAGTTTCATTTCCTATCCCAAATACTTAAGCCACATATTCTGCCCTTAATTTCTAGGCGATTTGCAAAATATGAACAAAATATATCCAGTAGTTTAGCCACAGGACTCATTTTTGTGTTTCGTAAATTGCAACATCATGTGTACATGCAGTCATAATACATTGACCTCAGGCGGCGATCAGCTGTACACACGTTGCCGCTTTTACTACACCCGAATCGAACGAAATATGTTGATTATTACGTCATCACGATGCAACACGCGTTTTTAATTAGTTCATCCAGTAAGGACAGTCAGTCGGCCCTTGGCCACCGGCGAGCTTATGCTATTCCGTATCCTTGTAGATGCGCTCACGACAAATAACCGTAATAATAATATTGTTGTTGTTTATGAGATACATATTTGTTTAGAGAAGTTTTCTTGTGGTAATAATTGTTTAGTCTTATTGCTTTCGTCATAATACACGGCAATGGTGTGAACAATTAATGTTATCGTGTGCGCAAGACTTCGTAATGTAAGGAGTCCTGCTAATTTTATTTTGAAAAGTCACTATTAGGTTCTGTGTGTAGTGTAGTGTGAAACTGAGTGCATTATCAGTCTTTTAATTTTATTGGGTTATCGATATCAACATCCATAATGCCGTGAGTGACCTTCACAGCGGCGGAATATCCTGCTATGATATTAATTTATGGAAAACTCTATCAAAACGCATCTTTTGCTTTACGGACACGTATGGAGTCAATCGTGTATGTCCTACAGACTGCCGAATTTTTGTAAGGGCGGTACAAAGATTACGAGACAACCAAGGTAACTACTTTTTCAAGGAGTGACGCGTACTGCTGGGTCGGAAGCTAGTCGAGCATTCACGAAATAAACACGTGAATAAAATCGCATTCTTTATAAATAGATTTTTAAAAGCAAGTGAAGTGATTGGTAGGTAGGTAATAAGAATGTAAAGTTCGCCGGCGGCGCCGGCGGCGGCGTCGTTTTGATGTCACCGACATTGCGACGCTGCCGTGTAGGTACAGTTCACCGACTCATGTTATCAATGGTGTTCTAATTCGGAAATTATTTTATTGTATTTAGTTTGTTCTAAATTTGCATTTCTGTATTTTCGTACTAATTTTTTATTTTTTTATTTTAACCGACGTATATTGAACCGTGTTATCTGTTATTTCATTTTTTGTGATATCTATACCGCCACAGTGTATAGATTAGAAACTCTTTATTAAAAAATCTATTAAGTTGTCTCTATAGCTGTTATGTCAAGACTTGTGATCCTGAGTAATAGACAATACGAAAAAGAGTGAACTTTATATAAGCATTTAGCTTAGTAAGAGGGTTTATCAAAAACATATTCTAAAGCTTGGAGCTTTCGTACAAAACTATAATTTCTTGGAATCTGATTGGGCAGGCGATGGGTCACTATTTTCTTAACGCAAATAGACCACAATAATGTTTTAACAGATTTCATAATTAATAAGCAGAGCTTGTACTATGGCTACTAGACAACTGATATAAATACATATATACTTTTTTTTTTGTAAATACAGACTGATTATACATATAAACACCCAGACCAAATCAAACATTAAATGTTCATGCACACAAATGAACAGAATGAATGTCGCGATTTCAGATTGTCAGGTTCATCAACAGCCTATACCAGTCCACTGCTGGACATAGGCCTCTCCTTAGAAAGGAGGTTTTTGGCCTACTATACCACGCTGGCCAGACGGGTTGGTATAGGGTTTGTTTCAGGTTTTCCTTCTCTTTGCAGTGCTGTTGTCCTGCTTAGTTTGCTCCCTTAGTCGGCTCTTACGACACCCACGGGATGAATTGGGGTGGTGACAATTTGTATTCTTAATCCGTCACCACACGGACAATTGTCAGGTTACATCAACTCTTTTTCTGTTTCAGTCGCCGATACTCTCTACTTCAATGGTACATCCCTCATAAAGATGGATCTCCTGCGCGATCCAATATCAGCTTCCCGAGAAGTGATCCGCTTCAGATTCAAAACCAGTACAGCTTCAGGTGCGCTCATGTACTCCAGAGGTACACAGGGAGACTATTTCGCCTTGCAGCTCAGAGATAATAGGCTCGTGTTAAATATCGACCTGGGTAAGTATATTGTAATAAATAGTTGCATTTCCGGTTTCTATTAATTAAGTTGTTCTTAATCTGATAGCCATTAGACTTTAAAACTGTGAAATGAAACATGTCTCATGACACTGTAATTTTAATTTTGGGTTTCTCAAAGTCATTGCCACTTCACGCGTGTTTGAAATCTGCACGGATGGCGTAGTGGTTTAAGCGTTCACCTCGCCGCTTCCTACTGCTGAGTGTTGTGGGTTTGATCCCCACATGGGACAACACTGTGTGTGAACCATAAATTAATGTTCTGAGTCTGGGTGTTCTTTGTGTCTGTTTCATGTATGTTTGTGAAGTCCTCCGCGATACAGGTTATATTCCTAGTGCGAGAGTTGTTCTTAAATAGAAATCTTTCTGTATCGGCCACTATCTTGCTCGAAACTGCTCGCACTTTAACTTAACTTTATTGTAATTTTTTTTTGGGCTGTAGAACACCCTTAGAGTTTCATGATATCAATTAAGTAGATAAGGCATGAAAAGAGTATAGTACACATAACAGTAGTACACATAACAGTAGTACACATAACAGTAGTACACATAACAGTAGTACAGTAATAGTAGTACACATAACAGTCAAAGTTAAGTTCTTAATTTTATAATTAGTTAGAACGCATGAGCACTTCACATGGGTTCGATTCCAACCCAGAACAAATAATTGAGTGATTAGCACGATCTTTGGTTGTGTCTGAGTCTAATTTATCTATATTATGTATGTATTTAGAAATATTAAAACTAGATAAGTATGGTTATCCGCAGTCTGGTTACCGTTGTAAAGGCTCTGCTTAGTTTGGGATCGGGTTGGCTCTGTGTGAGATCTGTAAGGTTATTATTAGTGTTAGTAGTTAACTCCATAGTGTACTTCATGTATCTTCAATTACTCACATTATAGTAAATATCGTAATACTGACAATTATACCGTATCTACAACTTGTGTGTTTCAACAGGTTCTGGTACATTGACCTCACTGTCAGTCGGCAGTCTACTGGACGATAATATTTGGCATGACGTGGTCATATCACGCAATAGACGAGAAGTGCTCTTCTCTGTGGACAGAGTCATCGTTCATGAGAGGATCAAGGGAGAGTTCTCCAGACTGAATTTGAATCGAGCCGTATGTATTTTTTTTTTGCCTGATCTATCTGTTCTTAAGGTAGTGATAGTAAGTGAGAACCTCAACTGTAAACACTTGCAATTCCAGCGTCACAAGTTTGTTGCCGCCCATCGAGTTGCCTACCCTTATTATGATGACCTCCCTAAAGTTAGGGGGTGGTTTGGTTCTTTGGTGTAAAGCAAGGAAAGATTTCCTCATCACCGGTTTTCTGTGAGGCTGTGGTATCACTCCAGTCGAGCTTTCCCATTCGTGCAGAAGCATAGCTCTCCCACATACTGGCTTGTACAAGTCCCTGTCTTAAAATATATGTACGGCCATACGTGAACTCGATTTCCCTATCAAAGACATACGGTACTACTCTTCATCCTTTCCCTACCCTGAATCGTCTTCTTGGCTTCAAGGAGGGTTAGCGTCAGTCACTGACAATGAAACAATGTTACATTGCAAATAGTTTTAAACAGGTAACTGATGAAGATAATGAAATCATGGATTTGCTACCTTGGAAAAGTAGAGGTTACTTACTATTAAAATTCTTAGTTTAAAAAGTATTTTGGTATTTCAGTTCTACATCGGTGGCGTGCCAAACTTCCAAGAAGGTTTAGTAGTGAATCAGAATTTCACCGGTTGTATAGAGAACATGTATCTGAATGCAACCAACGTGATACAGGATCTCAAGCAAGGATATGAAACGGGTGAAGTCTTCAAGTTCCAGAAAGTTAACACACTGTTTGCTTGTCCGGTAAGTTTTGTGTACACTATGAACAGAACATTTGTGTAATTTGGGAGGGATATTGGGACCGGACTAGATGAGGATGTCATCCTGTCTTTGTTTCATTTGGAAACACTCATGGGTGACAACTCACCAGGGCTAAAGGAAACGAATAGCTTGATGTATTACAAATATGTTTTTTTTTTAAAAGACAACTCCCTCATTAGGAATATATATGGACTTTACAAACATATATGAAAGGGACACAAAGAACACCTAGAGTCAGAAAAACAGTTTGTGGAGCACACAAAGTGTCGTCCCATGTGGGGTTTGAAACCTCAACACTCGGCGCAGTAGGAAGCGGCGTGGCGACTGCTTAAACAACTAGGTCTTCCGTGCAGTCATTTTCACAGAAATCTAATTATTAAAATCCATTACAAGTTGAGCTGTCATTAAACAAACCAACAAGTTTCCATATCATAACAGGTCAACTTATACTGGGAAAAATAAAATTTGCGTATTGGTCTTACATAGCTTTTCGTAGCCAGTTACATATTTTTTTTTTTTTTTTTTTTTTTTTTAAAAAGACAACTCCCGCATTAGGAATAAATCCTGTGTCGCGGGGGACTTTACAAACATACATGAAACGGACACAAAGAACACCCAGACTCGGAACAACAATTTGTGGATCACACAAAGTGTCGTCCCATGTGGGGTTTGAACCCACAACACTCGGCGCAGTAGGAGGCGGCGTGGCGACCGCTTAAACCACTGCGCCATCCGTGCAGTCGATATTTGAAAATATATAACAAAAAGTCCTGTTAAAAGTTCACGTTTTACCACTTCTGCAATAAAAAATAGTGTATTTCAAACAAATTGCTTCCTTCGCTTTGTTAGCGATATTAGCTAAACAACTCTGAAGAAGATACTTTATTTATTTATTTGTTTTATGGAAGACTTACAGCTAAATCAACAGATTTAAAGTAGAATAGTATTAGGAAGCTAATTACAGGTCTTCACTTTTATAAGTTTTACTAACAATTAAGTGTGACTGGTTCATGTTAATTTTATAATACAGTCAGCTACATAAATAGATACTACGCCTAATATTTTATATTTGAAGAAGTAACATAATTAAACAAACATGTTACTTCTTCAAATACCAGTTCCGGAAATACCTGATCATTCATACAGATAATCAGGCACTTCCAGAACGGTATATACACGCATGTGTAATTACATACACATACATACGCACACCGCACCAGTATATACCACCGCACCAGATATAACTTAAAAAATATAAGTGTTTATAATCCAAACTCAAATTTCAGGAGCCTCCTGTAGTACCAATCACCTTCCTCAAAGAGGGCTCGTACGCTAAACTCAAAGGATATGCTGGCAGTAACACTCTGAACATCTCCTTGGAGTTCAGAACGTATGAGAACCATGGACTACTCATATACCACAAGTTTAACAGCGAAGGACATGTTAAGGTATGACTAGTTTTATTTTGTTCACTTATTTTAGTGATATAATAATTTTGGTGAGTTTGTATACTTATGGCTATTAAACCGTGTATACTTTGGGAGTGTTCCACCAGTGTCGAACGAGAAAGGAGCCCCTTACTCATAAGCGAAACGACCTGTCACGCGACAGGTTTTTATTCATCACATCAAATGTTTTTTAAAACAGTTAAAGCAAAAGTTTTTTATGGTGGAAGAGGCAAACCATAACAACGGTTTTCTGTGAGGCTTCGCTCGCGTAATTATTTCATACTTCCTGTTTCTAACTTTGGAAAACACGAATTTCATCCTTTATTTTATCCTGTTAGGGATAAAAGATCTAAATATCCTTTCTTAACGGGTGCTTTCAACATAAAAAGTATCAGCCATCAAAATTTCAAGTTTGTAGCCCCAGTGGTTTAGGCTCGTGTGTTGATGAATCAGTTTCTCAGGGCCATTTAGTTTTATATAATCATCGTCTGCCTACCCTTTTCCCAATTTTATTTGGGGTCGACGCAGTATGTATGATTTTTCCATTCTACTCTGTCATGCGTCATCTCACTGTTTACTCCCTTCCTAGCCATATCCTCCCTCACGCAGTCCATCCACCTTTTCTTCGGTCTGCCTCTTCTCTTGTTCCCTTCAACTCCCATACCTAAAACTTTCTTCGCCACATTTTCCTCATCCCTCCGCATGACATGTCCATGCCAAGATAACCTATTACTTCTTAACTTTTCATCCAGTGGCGCTACTTTCAGACTCCCTCGTATATACTCATTCCTAACCTTGTCCATCTGAGTCACACCACACATCCATCTCAGCATCCTCATTTCGGCTACGTTCAGGCGTCTCTCATCCGTTCTCTTAATGGGCCAACTCTCAGAACCATACAGGACGGCAGGTCTGATAATTAGTTTTATATAATGTATGTAGTAAATAATTACCAACTTGTCAAAACCGGAAACTTCTTTTTTAGCTTCTGTAAATTTTTAACTGCCTTAGTTAGGAGTTTTTCTTGAGGATCCTTTGATTATATCACAATTTTTCCCCCAGGTGTACATAGAAGAAGGTCGTGTTAAAGTAGAACTAGAAACTCCGGGCTCCCCTCGAGTGAAGCTTGACAACTACGCGGACGTATTCAACGATGGTCGTTGGCATGCCCTGATGCTGACAATGGCCACCGATAGCCTGACCCTGGCTATCGACCTGCGTCCTGTTAGGACTACTAAGAAACTGCGGTTCATGACTGGAAGCACTTACTATATAGCTGGTGAGAATGATTTATATGTAATTAATGAACTCTAGAGTAAACATACAATTATGTGTTTAAAAAAAAAAACGGAGCAAGCTTTACAGTAGTAGTTTGACGTCTCACCTACCTTCTGGTGCAGACATTTAATCATATTCATATGATGAAATGATTGGTTTTAGTCACAGACTTGGTCAGATTTCGTCATGGACAAAGATCAATGCCATTAAAATCAAGCAAAATTCTTTTTATCAAAGATTAGGGCTTTCTGGCGCTATCTTAATAATGATCATAAATCGCAGTGTTTTGTAATATAGTCACAGGTGTGAAACCATATGATTTATCACAGGTGATTGTGATTTTATTCCATCCCTAATCAGGTAGACAATTAATACCGTCGGACTTATGTATGACTTTTCTTATATTTTTTATCCTTTCTTTCTATTACATACCTTTTTTCGACATACTGTTAATTTTACTTAATATTATAGTTGCTAATTTTTTTTGTATTGTTTAACTTTAGAATTGCGTTACTATTTAGAAAAGTGATACAACCAGATATTCTTTGTTTTGTCCGTGTGTTGACGTATTAATAATAATATTTTGGAAAACGTGACACAAGTTCTATACCAATCCGTATGGTCAGAGTGGTATAGTAGGCCAAAATCTTCTTTCTAAGCATAGGCCTATATTCAGCAGTGGACTATTACAGGCTGTTGATAAATCTTTTTTTTTTTGTAAATTTTTGCATATTGTAAGTATTCAGAATGATATAAAGAATGAAACTCGTTGTCTGTTCCAACATCATTTTTGTAGAATCCATATTATGTAAAAAAAATGAACACGCCTCAGACAGAAACGAAAGGATTGCTCAACATAAGTTTTCTGCTAGACCATGGTATATTCTATTAACGAGAGTGAGGAACTGAGTTTATATGTATGTCAGGTGGCAAGGCGCCCCCCCGAGGGTTCATCGGCTGCATGCGCAAGATCGCCGTGGACGGCAACTACCGGCTGCCCACGGACTGGAAGAAGGAGGAGTACTGCTGCCAGAACGAGGTGGTGTTCGACGCGTGCCAGATGATCGACCGCTGCAACCCCAGCCCGTGCGAGCACGGCGGCGTGTGCACGCAGACGGCCGACGAGTTCACCTGCGACTGCAGCGCCACCGGCTACGCGGGGGCCGTCTGCCACACCTGTACGTGCACACCGCACCTCTGTATCAACCCATACCTACGACCTGGCTCCAAAACCCTTATCTTAACTTACACGTAACTTTACTTTCAACTGATTCCTAACTGATATAATTGTATTAGTAAAATAAGTTAAACAATTAACTATGCACTAACTACGAATCCAAGAATCAACATTTTAAGTCATCATACAGATTTTCCATATAATAAGTCAATTTATATTGGAAAAGAAATAACAAGAATCTTCATTGTTATTCTGTAATCATCATCAAGCATTTAACAAAAAACAAAATTTTCACCAAAATAGCATGTATTTTAGAATTTACATCAGTTAAAAAGAAAATTACAGTATGAATATTTAAAACGAAACCACTTTGGACTAATTATTCCGGTTGTCGACAGCAATCCACCCTCTGTCGTGTCAAGCGTACAAGAACGTACAAGCAGTGTCCCGTTCCGCTCAGATCCACATCGACGTGGATGGTTCTGGACCTCTGGCGGCTTTCCCTGTCACATGTGAATTTTATTGTGAGTATTACTCAAGGTTTATTGGGAAAACCAATATTTACCTTAGAAATATAACAATAGCAGCATTTTAATGTTATTCTGTCAGGGTGATATATGTACTAGAACTTAAAAATATTAAATAGAATCGAATTCTATTTAATATTTTTTTGTTTGTATTTTGTGTAGCATTTTACTTAATAGCATCTAACTGTTTACTTATACTCGTAATCAATTTCAAAGATTTTTGTCCGTCTATGTGGTTATTTCGGCTAATCTCCAATCGTGTGGACCATTTCCATGGGACTTTAACTCGCAGATAGCAAATGTTCTAAGAAGTAACTTAGGGTACTTTTATACAGAAAATAGGTAACGCGAAAAAATATTAATAAATATGCGTTTTTTATTCTAATTATTCTTATCAATAATTTTCTTCACTGCCTTCTCTTCATAGCCGATGGTCGCATTATAACAGCAGTCGAGCACTCCTCCTCCCAAAACACAGTAGTGGATGGGTACCAGGAGCCGGGCAGCTTCCGCCAAGACATTATCTACGACGCCAGCAGACAGCAGCTGGAAGCGTTACTCAATAGGTCCGACACGTGTATGCAACATCTGGAATACATGTGTCGACATTCAAGATTGTTGAATTCTCCTAGTAAGTAAACTAGTATAGATCTTTTATTTTCTCTTTCTATAAGAGACAACTCCTGCATTAGGAATAAATCCTAAATAAATAAAAGTCAGCCTGTGACCACGGCCGGTGCAACCTGGTCGAAACGTCAGGCAAACCAGAGGTATGTAATACCCTAAATAAGAGATCGCGTTAATTCCCGTTAAATAATATTAATTATCATGGAACGCGAAAGTTTAAAAGTTAGTATGGAATAAATCCTGTCTCGGGGGACTTTACAAACATACATGAAACGAATACAAAGAACACCCAGACTCAGAACAACAATTTGTGGATCACACAAAGTGTTGTCTCATGTGCGGATCGAACTCACAACACTTCGAGGTGATCACTTAAATCACAATGCCATCCGTGCAGTTTTTTTTTTCTGCTTTATGAGATCGGTTCTTTATAAGATCGGTCACCAATACTTACCGTTCTTTCGATGTTCCTAATTGGTGTTAATAGGCCAAGTTCACTCTGTAGGTATAAAGGTACAATGTCTCTTATCGACCAGTTATACTAAAACAAGGGTGGCCATCACCCCCGCCTACCGCCAAGTATTCGGATGAATAAATAATAGATATACTTAGGTTTTTTACGCTTCAAATGGTATACAAGTGTAACTTTAACGTGTTAAAAGATATAAGAATTATGAGGTAGAAAGAGAGGCAAAATTGTAGGTGAATATACCTGTAGGTAGTTAACGCTATGCATCTAAAATGGACTTTATCGCCTTGGAGCAAGAATCGCTATGGAGGGTCATACAAGTATAAAATGTACTAGAACCCACCACACCTATAAAGAAATATATTTGTCCGACTGGATATCCGAGTAAAGTTGCGAGATGAAATCGAGTAGTCGAAGTTTCCTCGGAGTGCGACGAGGTTTTGTTTCATGGTATGTGGAAGTAGCCACATCACAATAACAGCATTAAGAATTATTTCTTATAATAAATAAGTAGATGGTATAACACTATTGCATTGGGCTAAGCCTGTAAAAATAGTTGTTTTTAAAGAAAATAAATAAATAAATAAATAAAATAAATAAATAAATAAATGTTCATCATAATATTTGATAATGCATATATTGATCATTGGAATACTCGAAATATATTTATGCGAAATACATTTTAAAGAAGAGTCTCGACCTGAACTGAACTAGAAGGGACACAATATTATAATAATACACAATATAATAATAAACATGTTCTAATAACAATATCTATCTGTTTGTAAAGGTGAAGAAGCATCATTCCACCCGTTCGCATGGTGGGTATCGCGGACAGGACAGCGCATGGACTACTGGGCAGGCGCCACCCCGGGGTCACGGATGTGCCAGTGTGGAGTTCTGGGGTCTTGCAGTGACCCCACCAAGTGGTGTAACTGTGATGCTGAGCATTCCAAGCCTGAAGGTAATATAGTCAGCGTCGTCACCTGCGGGCACTAATGACTCTCTACACAATTCTCAACTCCCCTAACTCGCCTACATACTTGACATCCTCCTTCCAGTTCTTGTGCTCCAATCATAACAGAACCCTTCGCTCTACAAATAATCTTCTACTCTTATGCCCTGCCCACACTTCTGCGTGTGTTCATTCTTCCTTCCTCACTCAATCTGTACTTCTATGGAATGCTCTGCCCCAGGATATCAGAATGGCGACCAGTCGTAGTTCGTTTAGGGCGAAGGTGCGGGCTCTTCTTGACCGGAATGTAGCGGAATCATCACAAATATGATACCTTATATATTATGGTATATATCTACGTGTATATATATAAAACAATATATATGAATATGAATGTATGTATTCTTGTATGTATGCGTTGGTATTTATATATTATTTCATTGCTTTTTGCTCAGTATTGCTATCATTACTTCTTTTATGTCCACTTTATAACTCTCAACCAAAGGGTAGTGCACCTCCACACTCATTTCCACACCACCCTAAGGTAGACTGGTAGAGAATGCCTATGGCATTAAGTCCGCCATTGTACTTATGTGCATAAAGTTAATAAATAAATAAATAAATAAACATTTGTTAGTCTTCATCAATCATCATCAACAGCCTTTAACAGTCCACTGCTGGACATAGGCCTCTCCTTAGAAAGAAGGTTTGGGCCTACTATACCACGCTGGCCAGACGAGTTGATATAGGGTTTGTTTCAAGTTTTCCTTCTCTTTGCAGTGCCGTTGTCCTGCACAGTTTGCCCCCTCAGTCGTCTCTTACGACACCCACGCTATAAACAGGGGTGGTGACATTTGTTAGTCTTATTCAGTATATATTCTATCACCACGGTATAAAATAGTTTATCATCAGTGTTTGAAGGTATTTTATGAATTACATAAAGTAACGTATTATAATTTATGTGGTTAAGAATTCCAAGTGGATGGAGGTGAGTTAACAGAGAAAGAGTTTCTGCCGGTGAAACAACTGCGGTTCGGTGACACCGGATCTCACCTCGACGAGAAAGAAGGACGTTACACACTCGGACCTCTCTTGTGCGAGGGAGACGGTAAGTGCTTTGAGAGTTTCTTTTATATTATTGCTTTTTTTTAATGGCTGTCCACTTAACCTTAACTATTAAACCGATTTAAATGAATCATGCCGTAGACTTGTTGTTATAACGCGAGTGACACTAGGTATTTTTAGCTTAAAAAAAAATTTTTTGCGCAAAAATTTGTGTTCTTTAACTTTTTTTTTACAAATATATATGAAATGAGTGTTTCAAATTATAGTTTAAGCGACAAACTCATGTATATTTTTCTTTTAAAGACTTGTTCAGCAACGCTGTAACTTTCCGCATCACGGATGCTATAATCACCCTTCCGATGTTCGACCTGGGTCACAGTGGCGACATCTACTTCGAATTCAAGACGACGAGGGAAAATGCTGTACTATTGCATTCTAAGGTAATCAATTTACATTTACACTTTTTGCCCCGCACAACCAATCTGTGGAACGGGTTATCGTCTGCGGTATTTCCGGACCGATACGACCTTCAAACTGGAAAAGAGCGTACTCCTTCCCAAAAGGCCGGCGACGCGTTTGTGACCTGAGTTGCAGACGTGCATGGGCGGCGGTGGTCGCTTTCCATTTGCTCGTCTGCCCCTCTTCCATAAAAATATATTGCTTTTCCCTTACGTGTGGGTTAAATCAAATGTTTGTCGTCTACCCCCTCTATAATAATAAAAAAAAGCTCGATGCTTCTCAGAATGGCTTCTGAGTAAACTGTATTTAATATATTTTCAACTTCTCCAATTTACTTCTGATTAATTTCGTTGCCGGATCCAAAACAGTTTAGTGTCATAACTCGGTATGTTCGTAGGTTACTGTGATCCTTTTGTACAAGAGTTACAGTAGTGTGCTTTGGGAAAGATTAGTAGAATAACTTGAAGAACTTTCTTGTTAGTGCAGACTTGATTAGGTTTTACTTTGTTTTTGGAGAAATTGTGTTACAATTTTGTCTTAGCTTCATCAACATCATCATCATCAATAGCCTATACTAGTCCACTGCTGGACATAGGCCTCTCCTTAGAAAGGAGGTTTTGGCCTACTACTGTCTTAGCTTATCACTTTATATACTCTGTACGGATGGCGTAGTGGTTTAAGCGGTCGCCACGCCGCTTCTACTGCGCCGAGTGTTGTGGGTTCTAACCCCACAGGGGACGACACTTTGTGTGATCCCCAAATTGTTGTTCTAAGTCTGGGTGTTCTTGATGTCCGTTTCATGTATGTTTGTAAAGTATCCACGACACAGGATATATTCCTAATGCGGGAGTTGTCTTAAAAAAAAAGTCTCCTTTAAAGTGCTAATTTGTCAACAAAAGAGTTGGTATATGTATGTGAGCCCACAAAGTGTGGGGGGTGAGTCGAACAGCTACTCGATTGTGTCTGACCGTTGTTTTAGCACGGAACCCCCTTCTGTATAAAATTTTAAACCTACTAGGATTTGCTGCACTAAATTAATTCTTAATCTTTTATTCATAAATGTGATTTATGTATATAAGTAATAACTGTTTTGATTGCAGGGTCCTCAAGACTACATTAAGCTTTCTATCATCGGTGGTGACCAACTGCAGTTCCAATTTCAAGTTGGAGATACTCCCTTGGGAGTCTCCGTTGAGACAAGTAACAGGCTTGCTGATAACAACTGGCATTCAGTGTCTATTGAAAGGAACAGGTAAACCTTTGTTACTTAGATTTCAAATGTTATTTGGTCATACAAGGATATTGTTCTAATAAATTTAGACCCTCATAGCTTTAAAACGCAGTGAGCGATAAGACCGCCTATGTATATAATATATTATATACATAGGCGGTCATTATATACATATTAGGCATTATATACATATTATATACATTTCGATATATTCGGTATACTGAATATATCGAAATGTATATAATATCTGTACAAATATTACTGCAGTGGTGTACAATAAAGAGAAAAATAAAATGAAAAAATAAAAATAAAACACAGTTTTATATTCCATTCGACACCTAAGTTGATAAAGCTGCAATCTATTTCTGTCATTTCTGCCAATATAAGTGTACAACTCGAAATTTGCGGGTTCAGTTTTACGAAAACACGATTTCTTGATATATGTACATACATGCCGATTAGTGGTAAAATACGAAGTTAAAAAAAAAATTTGCAACTATCCATGAACCAGGGTCCATAAATAGCTCTAATACAACTCTTCTGTACGCGAAATGCTTTCTCAACCTCAACCGAGTTCCCCTACATGATGAGACTATTTGAAGTATGGAAGACTTGTCGCAACCTATTAATAGCAAGTACGAATCTGTTAAGTTCGTTTCAAACAAACTGCACATGAGACTTCCAGTTACCTATATTTTTGAAACTGTATTGGCTGTTATTGAAATTAATTTTAAGGTTGTCAAGCAATCAACGGTCTGGGCGTTATTTAGATTCTATACAAATGTTTCCCTATATTTGCATTTATCTAAAATAGTAGTGTTATCGGCAAATAAAATTGTCGTCTGGTTAGTGTTATTGATTGTTATATATATTTAAAATAAAAACGGCCCGAGGACACTTCCTTGCGGCACACTAATTCTATTGATTAAAGGTCGCCTGCCTGACTTGGACGTTTTTTCCTATTTTGTCTATTTCAATGTATTGATAACGGTCTGTTATCTCATAACTTTTTATCCAATCATTTGTTATTACCCCAATAGCGTATTTCTCTAAGTTAAGCAGGAGTTAATTATGATCAACGAAGTCGAAGGCCTTACTCATATCTAAAAATTTTCAAAAGTCTAACCTAACATTGAGTTATCGTAAAGTGATGATGTTTTACCATACAATATTGTTAAATTAGTTAGTAACGTTGTCTGAAGTATTAATATTGAAGATGTGAACTAACGTGGTCAGGAAGGAGGCGTGCGTGGTGGTGGACGGCGCGCTGAAGAACGAGATCCGCACGGCCAAGGAGCCGGTGCGCGCGCTGCACCTGACCACGGGGCTGGCGCTGGGCGGCGCGCTGGACCACAAGGACGGGTTCGTGGGCTGCATGCGAGCGCTGCTGCTCAACGGACTCCCCGTCGACCTGCGCCACTACGCCAGGAGAGGTCACTCCACCACTAATGTTGCCTTTAGCCTCAAGCCTGTTCTCAAACAAGTTCTCGAGCCTATCGAGGCTTGAAAACCTTTTATTGTCGCGATACAGTATTAACAGTTACTCCGTAGTTCGGCGTTGCTTCATTAAATGGCGCTGAAGTATGTTTTTGTTTCGCTGTATGTGGAAGTCGCCACGACTTAATCGATTTTAATATCGATTTGTGGGGCAGCTTGTACTTAGATTTAGAAAAATCAGAATTTAAACATAAATAACAAAATAAATAACAATGACGAGTTAGTTACCTAGCTAGTGATTACGAGACCCTTAAATATTATGATATGTGTACCCAGGTATGTACGGCATATCGGAGGGGTGCGTGGGCAAGTGTTCGTCGTCCCCCTGCCTCAACAACGGCACGTGCCTGGAGGGCTACGATTCGTACTCCTGCGACTGCCGCTGGACCTCCTTCAAGGGACCCATCTGTGCTGACGGTGAGAACTTACATACTGTAATTTCTTTATATAGTTAGTGTATTTTAGTATGATAACGAATAAACTTCACCTGGTTTGATATTAAAGAAACCAAGGGAGTATAATTTTCTGTAATAGTTATGTGTTTTCTCTGTATTTATGAATAGATCTGGCTTCGAACAGCAGAAACAACTGAACAAATGTTAATTTTTTTAGAAATCGGCGTGAACCTCCGTCCGAACTCGATCATAAAATACGATTTCTTGGGCTCCTGGCGTTCCACTATAGCTGAGAAAATTCGAGTTGGCTTCACCACCACCAACCCCAAGGGATTCCTGCTTGGATTCTTCTCGAACATCTCTGGAGAATATCTCACGCTGATGGTGTCCAACTCAGGTAAATTAATTTTATCAATTCGGATACTAATTTTGAATATTTAGTCATATTTGTATGTACACAAAGTTGTATTAAGGAATGAAGTGTTATGTTTCTTTAACACAAAATAACTAGATAATCATGGCGTTGACGTTGGGCGATCGTGTAATATATTATTCGCGGCAAGAATTTCAATTGCGTGATCCAGAATTAATAGTTGCCATGTACTTACTTCGGCTTGCCTCCGATAGATGGCGATAAATTGTGTTTTGTATGTATTTCCCCTCAGTGTCTGTAACAAGCCTACTTAAACATAATCTTAAGCACGGAACTTACACCGTCTTCATGTCTTGGTTGTTTATTATTAATAATATTATCATAGTTTTGTAATTTTCTGTTGTTTTAAAAATATCTCTTATCGATATTTTCTACACGAATCCTACGTTTATTGTAGGCCACTTGCGAGTAATCTTCGACTTTGGTTTCGAGCGGCGCGAGATCATATTCCAAGGGAAGCATTTCGCACTGGGACAGTACCACGACGTGAGGTTGTCGAGGAAAAACAGTGGAGCCACTATGGTTTTACAGGTATGTGGACTACTTTGTACTGGCTTCCAATGTGGTAATATAATTATCGTACATATAAGGACAGTATCAACATTTACAAAGTACATCATTTAATATTTTTTTAGTCGCCTTTTCGATATTATAGGCCGTGGCACTAAGTTACTTTAAATTGTTTATAAATCGTAATATGCTGGATCCTTATTTAAAAAAAAATCCACACTAAGATAGACACCAATATAGAGTAAAACCAATCTAATATTGACTGCACGAATGGCGTTGTGGTTTAAGCGGTCGCCACGCCGCTTCCTACTACGCTGAGTGTTTTGGGTTCAAACCCTGCATGGGACGACACTTTGTGTGATCCACAAATTGTTGTTCTGAGTCTGGGCGTTCTTTGTGTCCGTTTCATGTATGTTTGTAAAGTCCCCGGCGACACAGAATATATTCATAATGCAAAAGTTGTATTTTATAAAGATAAAGAAAAAATAAATAAAAGAAATAAATTGTTGAAACGCAAATGAAACATCGGAAAATATACTAGTATTTTAACAGGCTTCTTGTCTACTGGTAAGAGATCAGCAGCCAGGGTCCACCAAGCAATCGTGGATACAATTATACCAATAATTGTGACATGAACATGATCCTTTGTTCTGTGTTACCATATCTATAATATAATATGTATCTATACTAATATTATAAAGCTGAAGAGTTTGTTTGTTTGAACGCGCTAATCTCAGGAACTACTGGTCCGATTTGAAAAATTCTTTCACTGTTAGATAGCCCATTTATCGAGGAAGGCTATAGGCTATATATCATCACGCTAAGACCAATAGGAGCGGAGCACCAATGAAGAATGTTTCAATAACGGAGACAATTTATTACTATTGAGAGACGCAGACGAAGTTGCGCGGGTCAGCTAGTATGTAATAAGAGTAATCTGGTTCCCGTAGTATGTGACGTCCCTAATATGAGACTCCTCCAGCTATTATAACTAATTATTTGTATTTTAGGTAGACAACTACGAAACTCAAGAGTTCACATTCGACATCAAGGAGTCAGCAGACGCCCAATTCAACAATATCCAGTACATGTACATAGGGCGGAACGAGAGTATGAACGAAGGGTTCGTGGGGTGTGTCAGTAGGGTGGAGTTCGATGACATATACCCACTCAAACTACTTTTCCAACAGGACCCACCGCCCAACGTCAGGAGTATAGGAGGTAGATTTGTATTATTATTTTGTTCAAAATAAAAAAGTGAACTGTGTAGTAAAATATTATAATATGTATTAACTTGTATTTCACCAGATGGCGTTCTAAACGAGGACTTCTGCGGTGTAGAACCGGTCACCCATCCACCGGAGAGGCTCGAGACACGCCCTCCGCCCGGCGTAAATCTACAACAAGAACTTGACTATCACAAAACTGACGAGGCTATACTTGGCAGTAAGTACATATTTCCTAAAGTCAAATTTGCTTTCTTGTCCACTGTGCCCGTTCCGTGTAGTGAAGGATTAGAATACGGAGTGTCACCACCCCCATTCATCTCGTTGGTGTTGTAAGAGCCGACTAAGGGAGCAAATTATACAGGACAACAGCACTATAAAGAGAAGGAATACTTGACTAAGGACTCCTTCCTAAGGAGAGGCAGCAGTGGACTATTTAAGGTTTGTGATGGTGATATTGTTAGCAATCGGGCGAGTTTTTTTTTATGAATATTACCGATTGCGTGATAAATCTGTTTTTTTTTTAAATTTGATGATAACAATTAAGTTAAATAGTATTTGACTTGTATAAAGTTTTATTTTGAATTAAACAAACTAAAATAATTTTATAATAATTTGTCAAAATAAACAGGCAGAAATATGTATAAATATTTATGTTAATAATGTTTTTAATAAATATATGTGATGTTTATATTTTCAGCTGTCCTGGCTTTCATTTTCTTGATGCTGATAGTGGTGGCTATCGTGTTGGTACGAGCGCTATCCAGGCACAAGGGAGAATATCTTACGCAGGTAAATATTATATTCAAAAGAAGGGAAAGGTAAAAATAGATAAAAAATATATTTTTGAAAAACTTTGTAATAGGTTTGTCCAATTTTGGATCATTCGAATGTGTCGATACCAATTCAAGGCCAATTCTCGTAATTAAAGTTCGGATACAATTCAGTTTTGATCAACTTTCTATTTCACAACTGTAATAAAATGTATTTTTGTAGTAAAATAGTAAAGTATTACTAAGACTAGTAAGTTACCGAATCGATTTTCGGTTACAACACGATATAATCATTCCAGTCAACTTGTTTAATACTTCACAAATACCTTTTATGATAGTTGTAGATAGGAACTGAATCGAGAACGAACTTTTATTACGAGAATTATAATAATAATATAATATATTCTACCACATACATACAACGCCATCTAGTCCTAAATTAAGCAGAGCTTGTACTATGGGTACTAGACAACTGATATAAATACATATATACTTTTTTTTTGTAAATACATACATATTATACATAGAAACACCTAGACCAAATCAAACATCAAATGTTCATGCACACAAATGTTTGATTTGAGCGGGAATCGAACCCGAGACCTTTGGAATAGCAGTCCGTTACACAAACCACTACGCCATCCAGTCGTCAAAATTGATCTTTCGATATAATGTACGTAGACAGTATTCGAAGATGTGTCTGTGTGATAGGTGATGATGATGACATCGATAACTGCACGGATGGCGTAGTGGTTTAAGCGGTCGCCACGCCGCTCACTGCTACGCCGAGTGTTGTGGGTCCGATCCCCACATGGGACGACACTTTGTGTGATCCACAAATTGTTGTTCTGAGTCTGGGTGTTCTTTGTATCCGTTTCTTGTTTGTTTGTAAAGACCTCCGCGACACAGGATATATTTCTAATGCGCGGGAGTCGTGTTTAAAGAGAGACATAGAGTGATCAGGTACGTTGTGTGTACAGGAGGAGCGCGGCGCGGCGGGCGCGGCCGACCCCGACGCGGCGGCGCTCGCGGCCGCCACCGGCCCGCGCGTCACCAAGCGACGGGAGTTCTTCATCTAGCCACCTCCACCCTCCGCCACGCTCACACATCGACACGATACGACCTCTACTGATAAATTAAAACCGTTTACGGTCTTGTCTCACGACGCTCGAATGATATGGATATGCCGTTCAAAGTTTAGATATATTTTTTTAAACTAACACGCGAACGTGTCAATTTTTCAGCGAATCTATTAAATATGACTCGACCGCGATAACATACAAACCGACACACACAAATTAAACGTTTATCGTATACCAAAAAAAAAAACAAATAAAGCAAAATATTTGTCATATTACTATTCATCTACGCGACATTTCGATAAAATTACATTACTAATATACATAAATCACCTAAAAATATAATACCTTATTTAAAAAAAGTCTACCACAAAATGTCATTTGACAACCAATCAAAATCATGTCAGATATAAAAATAAAATGAATCTCAAATCTTCATTAGATTAAAAAACAATCTCATAAATCTGTACAATAATAACCTACTTAAATATACTTTTTATTAGAAACTGTAAGTAAACCGAAACGAATATAACTCAACTATTATCGTTAAATTGTATCACAATCAAATAACGCCATATCCACACTATACCTTACTCTCTTCCTAAAGAATTAAAAATAACGTAATATGATTTGTATATCCTGTATATTTAAGTAAACAAACAATCCATTAAATCATATAATTAGTCAAAATAAGACAATGAAATTCTTCCATAAAATATGTATATTCATATATTTTCACACATTAGGATGTAGGTATGTAGTACGTATAAAAACACGCCCAATTCCACACATTTCTTATTTTAAAGGACACAAACACATAGCTAGTTTTAATATACGATAATATACAAAACAAAAATTGTTCAAAATGTTACGTCACAACACTACATTAAATACCGTGGGAGAGTCAAGTTATGACACAGATGGATCGACTCGACCGGAGTGACACCGCCCCTTCACAGAAAACCAGTGTTAGTTCTCTCGTTCCTCTACACTGAAAGAGTGAGGTTATTTAACGACCAGCTCTCTCCCTCCCTCCCTTATTTTGGGTGGGAGGACGGCAATGTACTTGTGTCTCTTGACTATCAACTGTCGGCGGTAGTCACCTTCTATCAGTGTCCTGGCGGCTCATTAGCCCTCTATACCGTACACAAAATATATCAATGGCTATTTTTATAGTAAATCGTATATAAAATTTGCTATGTGCAAAAGTCTTAAGCTATTGACACATGAGCACAGACCCATATTATTATTTAAAATAAGTTCGCATTTGGTTTGTAAAAGCAAGGAGACCTTCCTTGCTTTTTTACAATCATACCTTTTAAACAATCATAAACATGGAGTGAATAAGAGAATAAATCTTATGAACAAAGGGATATAAGAATGGAGAGAACACAGGGTACAGCTGCCTGAAGTGGAAGCGATATAAGCAACGAGAGAGATGGATAATAGATAGTTCCCTCTATCTCTTTCTAGTCAAGCTCTGTGGTTGACTGGGGAACTTTATAATCTCTCGCCTGTTCTACGATCAAAACTATGCCAACTTCACGATAGCCAATCGCGGCTTAGCTAAACAGAGACAGAAATAACTATCGGGCAACCATCTCTCTCGTTGCCTGTATAGCTTCCACTTCAGGCAGCTGTACCCCGTGTTCTCTCTATTCTTATATCTCTCTGTCCATAAGTTTGTATTCTATGTTTTCTTTGAAACCAACTTCAGTTTAAATAACTGAAAAACAAATTAGTCTTAGATATAATTAGGTTTTTTATTTTATAACATTTTTATAATATTTTAGACTGCTTAATTTATAAGCCGGTAGGATATTATTAGTTTTAGGTACCAAAATGTTTGATATTTTTCATTTTATTTCCGTCCAAAGTATTTTTTTGTTACTTAACGATGATGTGATCATTTTGTACTCAAAAAACAAATACAGTTTGTATATCATGAAAATAAAGTGTGGATTTTATTTAGTATTTATTTGTTTTATTGGTGCTAATTCTGGTGTTCGAAAACTCTCTAAACTAAACTAAAAATCACTAAAAAAAAAATTGTCCTGTCAAATATTTTCAGTGTTTGACAGAACTACACGAATTTTTAGTGATTTTTAGTTTAGTTTAGAGAGTTTTTAAACAACAGAATTAGCACCACGGTAAGTTTTTTATAATATTCAACATTAAGTGTCATTTAAACAACGCTCGCTGTGTTAGTTATAGAAGGATTTTTTCCACAATAAATAAACTGCGTGTCCTATAACTGAAATGGAATGCTCCTGCGCCATGTTTGTTAATGTTTTAATTATACTGATAAACATGTTCTTTCACCTCATACATTTAATTTCTGCATTCCTCCTTGGTTGATCGGCGGTATTGTGAATTATAAAATATGAATCAAAACTTATTAGACGTCATTCAGGAACAATACAGTCAAAACATTTTCAATTATTATTGATGTCCTGGTAAAATATATGATAATATAAATATATTATGCAGATTTTACAGCGATAACACATACACGCGGGCGGGAATGCGAACAAAAGCCAGTATCTCCTAAGTAGTTGGGATGAAGTGATACTATTAAAGGTGTTTGTGCCTTATCCGTACAGAGACACGGCACAAAGACTTACAGATTGTAGCGTGTTAATTGTAGAATTTTTATTTTACTACTGCGATATCACGAATAAATTTTCCACAAATAATTGATATAGTGTTTTAATTACATATCCTCTAAATTATCTACTAAGGAAAGCAACTCCTCAGCAAAAGCTGGGTTATACCAGAGACCTGTCATACATGTCTTACATTGTCATACACTTGTTTTTGAAGACCGGCTAAAGCAGACTCCAGCTGGCCTTCATGTACCACCACTGCACCTTTCTGTCCAACAGGAGTCAATTATGGTAACCTATCAAACTACGACAAAAATTTAATGCTTATTTGAATTCGACTAATTCTAGTCAATAATGATAATACATCACACGTCCTACACACGGCCGTCTGATCCCAAAGAGCCTGTGCTATGGCAACCAGGCTGCTGATAAACATACTTACTAGTCCGGTCAAATTAGACCAAAAAATAAGAGTAAAGTTACCTAAATTCCCACCAAGCTGAAAATTGGTAAGATTGTTTAAAATATCATTAAAAACAAAATTTGAAAGTTCCTTATCTTTCCCCTGTAAGGAAAATTTTTTATTCAAGGTAAAAGGTCAAAAAATGAGTTTCACGATTTTCAGCAAAACGGATATTCTTATATGTATATTTTATATTAGTAGTGTAAGTTACAATGACCGATAGAAAAATATTTTAACATATATTAAAACTATAGAGATGTATATATACGTGGCGTACTCATGCATATTATGACGATTACAACTTTTTGAATCGTTATATCTCAAAAACAGTGGCTCGTAGAAAAAAAGTATTAATAAATTTCTTGTAGATAATTTCGACACCTCCTAAGTATAATGAGTCAACTGACATTGTAGTAATTTTACAGGAGAGCGATTTGAAGGCAAATCGTTATATATTTTAATGAAATTAAACCTGTTCGTAATAAACTAAATGTTTTTTTAATAAGAAATGGAAGCTCTTCCTTTGGTATAAAATGATTTTGCAGATTTTTGTTTTTAAATGATATTTTATGTACTTGACTGGATATACGCCGGCGGGACTCAACAGTAAAATGGTTTAACTACCAGTTATATTCATGTACGTTGTACATCAAAATCTTTGGCTTACCCCAATATATTATGAAATATGATTGTCATTTTGATAACGTCATCCTACTTTTGGTTGTTTTCGGTATTTTCTGTCTCACTTAATAATAAAATGTTGAAATTACATCACTTGACTCATTATACTAGGAAAGTACTTAACTATGTTAGCATTTGAAACCTCAACGTATACTGGACTAACACAATTCACCGAGACTTTTTAATTACTCATTTGATTTATATTATAATATCTATACATAAAAATTATGGGATTATTCAACTTCAATATATAAGTATAATCAAAAACAAGGTGAGGTGACGATTATAGCCTGGTGGTAGAACGTTCGACTGCCATGTCGTGAGTTTCATCCCTGGGCGTCGTTATTGGGAAGTCAGTGCCTTCTATCTAATATCCTGACGACTGGTCTAACCATACGAATATCGGTATCCCTTTGGGTTACGTAGGTCAGATGGCAGTCGATCCGTAGAAAAATGATATTCAGCTAATAACCAGTTAGACCAGCGGACGACCTTACGAAATGTGGAATCAATAAAGGCTAGAAAGAAGCAGAAGAATCATAAACACAAACAACTCTTTTTATATAAATACAATGTATTTTTCTTTGCTACAATTAGGTCGGAACATATTTTGAACATTATTTAGCCTTAGTAAAAGATACAAGAACAAATAACAAAAACCAATTATTAATCTTGTCTCATTAAATTTACAGAAAAAGAAACAACAAACAATCAATAAAATAAGAATCTAATGTAGGTACTTCAACTAAATATAGTAACTTACGTTAAACAATATTCATAACAGGAATAGGAATGAATAACATAAATATCTTTTAGATTTTAGATTCGTTCCTAGGCACTTCTAATGCTCAATAAACAGCTGTAAGGTTTAACAAAATAAATGAAAATCTTAAAGGTTTAATAAATTAAAAGTCACTGTCTGAATCGCTGTCATCAGCTGTGTGAGAGCCATTAGGGTTAGTTGAAATCAAATTATTAAAAAATAAATGATACTCCTAGATAATGATAGACTAGCGTCTTACAAAGACCCATCAAGTCTTTGTGCTTATTTGGTCAATAGAAATGGGTATCTGATAAGATAAAGAAATATTATCTATATCAATATACAACTCATCGATTTCGTGTAGCTTTAGGTTTCTTTACATAACCTATCTACTTGAAATGGATTTTCTGCTTTAACTACTACTTCCGTTACTTTATTCCAAGGCATTTTAGATCCATCATTAGTAGTTGTCCAGTTGTTTATAGGT